GTGTTAAGTAAAAATAGTCTGAAATGTGTATAGGGATTGGACATGTTGGGGGCGTACCCCTCGATCTCATTTCTTGCTGAGTATAACCATACCCAAATTCCGCCGTTGTATCAAAAGGGGGATAATTGTACATGTTGTGGAACCGTGGTACAGAAGCCAGTTAGGTCTTTCTCCTTGTATACCCGGCCATACTTGACCACAGCGTGGAATCGATGGACAAAACGGATGAAAGGAGGTTATTGTGTAGCTGCTATACACTTTCCTGGCTCTCCGACAAGGAGGACACAATGGGGGCACTGGAATGGGGTGGGCTTGGTAACTGGGGCGAAACTTCTTGGGGCACAATTCTTTTTGAAGGGGCACTGAACGTGTGCGTGTGGGGAGGGGGCACCGAGTCTTGCTCACTCAAAGATTTCACAGAACACTTATATCACCTGGGGGTCACATGCCCTCGCCCGCTGGCTACATCACTGTCAATAAGCCAGGATCAAATCAGCTTCTTATAGTTTGAAAATTTTCTAACTTTCAGACCCAATTTGTGGTCTGTTCCCGAACCTCGTTTTCGGGAGAGGGTCAAACTGTTTGAAGGGAGGGCAAAAACATGGGATTTTCTTAGTGTTACCCTTATAAATGCATATTGCCTTTCTGAGAGCTATGGGGCTGTGACACGCGCCAGGAAGAAAGGGAAAGGAAATCTTACCCAAACAAAACATGGTCTCTATACATGTATACTGTAATGTAACATATCCCCCTCCCTTCTCGGGGAAGGGGTTTATGCTAAGTCTCCCCCACCTTCCGAGATCCCCAAATGGCAAGAGTGGTGCTTTGTGGAATTGTTCTTGTACCCAAAGCCTCCCTGATAATCCCTCCCCCAATTTTAAAGGAAGCATTCGACCCAAAGTACCCCTTTTGCCAAACAACAATTTGGCCCCCCCTAAAACCCCGGGTAAATTTTCCACCCAGGGGCATTACAAACACTATACGCACTCCGGTGAAATGTTGTGTCGGGTTGATTGAAATTCCAAGAGAATTATCTTCAAAGCAGAACTGTATGCCGCATGTGTAGTGAAATGAAGGTGCGCATACGTAATGATTATAGACATTTTGTAACCAGTTACTTATCTGGTCGATTTCCAGGCACAACTAAAATCAAAGCAATTGCATACAGAGAGCACCATACCATCTGAGGATTAAAAGCCCGTCCTACGGCAGAGGTGTAATGATTGATTCGAGTCAATGACTTGAGTCGAGTCCGACTAGAGTCACAATTTTGGCGACCGTGAAATTGACTCGACACGCGTCCCAATAGGTAAATGATACGACTCGAGTCACTGCGAGAAACTGACTCGACTTGACTCGAGACACGGCACGATCCAAGTGAAAGTTTGGAGAAGATATTAGCAGTGACTTACAATGCCGGTTTATGATGTTCGTATAAATGTTCCAAGGTTAGAAACCACAATAGAAACCCAGGGGTAAATTTTAAAATGCCATAAGAGTGAGTTTCCCTGTTGTTTTTATTCACCGTATTGTGTTCAAATATTTATGACTCGAAACTTTGTAAATTTTTTTAGTGTGGAGAAATTTTGTCAGAAATTCCAGAACGGTGGCGTCTGGAGCCAGGGTACAAATAGTAGACTTTTCCCTGATGTGGCGCGCTTGAACCAATCTCAGAAAATCCTACACGAACATATAATAATTTCTTTAAGGTTTGTACATTCTGATAAACCGTTGTTACTTCCACTAACATACCTATCTACAAATTTGTAAGATTATTTTCTTTTTTTTGGACAGCATTTTAACAGATTTAATTATTTCGAAAGAAAAACGGGAAAATCGGGCAAAAATACAATTTGCATTGGGTCTGTGTAGACTGGCTCCGGGCACTACCTCAAGCTCTTCGTTGAAAACCAAACAAAAATGGCCGAGAATACAACACCTAAAACATCGGCCTTTAGCAAGTACAAGGAGGTGCTTGGTGATGGGAAACATTCTTCTGCATGTTTCACATACAAACACAAAATGTACTGACCCGCCCCTTTATAGCATGCATATTCATGTATATCGTCCCCACCAGCTGTCAACCTTTACTATTACAAGAATTTGTCGCGTTATCAAATTAGATACTACTAGTACGCCTTCCAGTGAACAATTTTCAAACAAAATAAGTGTTTATGGACTCGTGCAGGTGTGTAGGTATTAAATCAATGCTTTGGGTTCCGTGCAGTATTTCGTTTACTCGCCAATTGGGTTTCGTTTACGATTCGAGTGTTCAACTGAGTGTCAATTACTCGCGAAGTAAAACCACTGCGTCCTCTATAATCCTTCCTGTTTACACACTCACTTAACATTGCTTGTCCGAGAGAAGGTAAAATTGCAAACGTCTAGTTCGTGATTGAAATGATGAAAACGATGTCTCGTCACGAAATATCATCGAGAGAGGCACAACGCGTCCTGAGGCCTGAGGTGGTTCATCTCCAGTTTCGCTGGTAGGCACAAGTCAAACATCCTAGACCACCGTTTAATGTCGAGGACGGCACTTCAAGAAAGCTTGTAGTCACTGCGATCAATTTTTGAATGACATTTGAAGAGCTGATTTAATAAACTGGATTTGTTGTGGGGGGACTCGTGGCCGAACTTTACTCCCAAGATAGCTGATGATACTCGAGGAACAGGGATTTATGGCTATATCAGAGCGAGTAGTATATTATATCTTTGTTTTTCAGAAAGAAACTAAATTTAAACCGACAGGCGACGGCCTTGGGTTTCTTTTCGCTTTCGGTAGACCTTCAAACCGTGGAACAGAACACTTAAGACTTACTCTAGTCTGGTAAAATGATCGCAGCGTTCATTCTTTCTCGAAAGTGTGGTTTTCGGATGGCCTATCGTTTCAATGACCCTACTGTTCGCGTTACTCTTCAGCAGTAGCGCACCTGACTATATTTTCCATGGGGGGGGGGAACTTCGGGTCCTCATTTTCTGGAAGGTGCACTCAATGGGTTCGGTCACGGGAAAACAATGACCAAGGTGGAGAACAGATTGTTTCCTTCTCTAATTAGTGAGGGGGGCGCACAGGCCTCGAGCTCGAGGGGCTATACCCCGTCCTTCATGCCCTCCTGAGTTACGCCAGTGTCCTGCAGGGATCGTCTGCAAGAGATTTAGTACCTGATGTTAAGTTTGAATAGACGAAAGGGCAACAAACGTGAAGTACCCACGTGGATGCGTGACAAATGTTGTCCTGAAAGGTTCCCTCTTTTACATGATGGCTTTTTGTCCAACATCGCACCGACAAGAGTCTATTATCATCGTCCATCTTATCGTCCGTCAGTAGTTTGACGGTCCTTTGGGGGGGCCTTGGTTCATCCTGTCAGACAAGGTGAAACATCCTTACAGAGTTATGCATCAAACAAACAAAAAGGTGGGGGGAAAAATAGTACTACACATACGTGTACATGTACATCCTTCTCTTTCGACAGAAAGTCGATGGTCATTTGTAAAGTCGCAAGGGGAGTTGTGGCGTGTGGGGCGACAGGCAGTGTCCGCCTTGAAAGTGGTACGGCTAAGGTTATTTGGTGAAAGACAGCAATAGGTGGGGAAAGGACAGGACGACGGAATGACCACGCAGTCCGAAACATTGAGTATACTCCCAGTTCTTTTCAGAACCACACATACTCGTGAGGGATATATTCCTCAGCATGGTGCTACCGTAAGCCTTTCCACCTAAGGTTATTTTTGTCGAACAATGCGCAAATTCTGCCAAGTTATGTAACAGTGGCGTCCCATCTTCGTCACTATTCTAGTTGTGTTTTGTGACCAACTGCCATTATTCCGTGACTTCTTTTCAAGTAGTATTTGTAGGGCTGAAGTATGAGTCCCCTGACGATGGCGTAACTGTTTTCTTTTGATATGCCGACCGTATGACCTGCTATAAAAGACCCAGACAGGCTTTTTCGACAACCTTGGCAGTTGAGATAAATTTTCCGGATGAGAAACTTTCTCTTGTCACTTGTACAACAACGCCCGAGGCTGACACTGGGTCAGTCCTTGTTATTCAATACGATATAAGAAGTGTAATAATTATATAACATTATGACATTATTATATGACATAACAACTGGAAAATTAAAGTTAATTTTTTATTTATTTTTTTATGGAAAATCAATGATCACAAAACAAAATGAGGCCAAGCATCAGCATTCTCAAAAAGCATCTTCTCTGCACGGAAACGGGGAGTGGTGATAGGACAGTCACTTCTCTCCTTTATAAGATTGCAGAGACAAGTGAACATTTGTACGTAAAGACGACTCCCTGCGATGAAGGCAGCCGTGCATGAAGTATCCACTGATGTCCTCCGTACGGTATTGCTGAGGCAATAATCTGAATCGACTAAGGATATGGGGGGGGGGCAAGTAAATTTCTGCTTTGATCCGGTGTCTTGTTATTTTCTTTAAAGCTGAGTTTTGAAGAGATTAAGGGACAGTTCAAACACAGCAGATGGAGAGGATGCCATTAGACCCTTTTGGAATTTTGCCCGAGAACTATTCAAGTTGGAGTTACATACGCGGCCTTGTCAGAACGCGCAGCTGGGTACGATGTACTATAAAGTTCCTCGGGAACTTCTTCGCATAATCTCAAAAAAAGGGCAAATTGTCACCGATTTTCAACTCTGGGCTACCGACGTTATTCTCGTGCACTGCAATTAGTTTTTAAAGAGAAATATGCTACATTCAAATGAACACGGGGGCGTCGCCAACATTTTTACAAGGGGAAAGGCAAACTACTTTTTCGGGGAGGGGTCCGGAGGGGGGCGGACAAAGCACTCTCATCAGTTTAAAAAATGATTGAAAGATGACTACTGGAGGTAGGGTTCAATTTTGAAGTTTTTCAAGCAAATTGTTCTTTTCGTCCCCTTTCATGGGGGGGGGTTGTTACTTTTCGTTTCCAATTCCCCGGGGGCGGGGCACCCTTGCCCCTGGAACGCACAGGTACTCACAGCCCTTCCCTAACATGTTCAATTAAGTCAGTGAATAACTGTAGCACTAAAGATGAATTTTTCCCAGTCAAAGTTGAGGGTTACGGTGATAATCGCTGCATCAAGAGGGAAAAGGTTTCAAGTGTCGAACAGTGCGTACAATCGGATGTCATATTGCTGAATGCGAGATAAGAAATGACCTTGAGGAAGAGGGGATCTGCGGCACCAATAGCTCATTGTTTATACGGCAAGGAGAAAAGGATTTGCGTCTGGCCAGGCAAGCGCTATGAAAGTAAGTACTTTCCGACAAAGCAACTTGCCACACAGGTTGAATGTAATTTCGTAGCTTTTGTTCACCACTCACTGTGTCATCCATCTTGCGTTGACGGGGGCCTTTTGGAGGGGGTAGGGGCTACCATTAAACACACCGTGACAAGGCCAGAAAACACATTGACACCTAGGCTACGCAAATGCAACTCAAATAGTTGTATGTACAAATTTACACGTAATGGGATAACACACTACGCATCCTTCCCGTATAGTTTGGAGGGTGGTTTGTCGTTTATGAGCGACCCGCGGTGATCCGTCCGGCTACGGCAAGGAGTGCATGCGTTTTTATGGGAAGTGCGTTCAGCCGCTAGCTATGCGACTTTCATGGGCACCGGTGATAATTTCTAGCCGCAGCCATATAAAACTGTGACACTGGCAGCCAGAGCGCGTGTACGGGTATGATGGGGTAACGGTGCCACTTGGTGGCGCCTTTTGTGACGCCCTTAAATTGCTTATCGCAAACTGGGAAAAAATGTACATGTATTTTTATTGACTCTGCCTTGTTTATGACCTACTTTATTCTCAAGGCAACCAATTAAATTGTTATAATGGTGCACAGTGTAAAAATTCTCAAGACTATGTTTCGAATTGGAACGGCACGTTAGCCTAGCATAATGTATTTTAGAAACGAAATGGCAAAATATGCCGTAAAGATTCTCAAACTTCGTTAAACGATTCACCCTTTGATTGTTTAATGTAGGAGCCTCTTTGAGTGGGTTTGCAATGGCCGCCATCTTGATGGCCAAAACTTTTGTTCCACAGGGTATGCACGAAGGAGGTTTTCCCAAATGCTCTGCAAGAAGGCCACCACGCAAGCGGCCTCTAGACATCGCGTTCGCATCATTGAGAGGGAAGCACTCAAAAGAAAATGTGACCCGCTGAGGCAAAATGAGTAATGTCTCTGAAAAAATAATAAGTTGTCAGCTCCCGAAGTGAAAGATATGTAATTAAATACTGACGTTGTCTCAGCCGGTCACAAATTGAAATTCAGTGACAAGATGCTATTATCTCGTTGCTTTCACACATTTTTTTTCCCATTTCCCTGCTGACAAAAACTTCCTAGCTGTGACCCCCCCCCTCCCGTCAGACAAAGTTTGGTGAAGGAATGATGTCAGTCAACCTTCCTGGCAAGTACAGTGCGCGTGCGCGCACACGTGCTCGCTTCAGTTTTCTGACCAAGGCAGTGGCCTGAGTTTAAAAATATCCAATTACTTCAACACTTGGCACTAAGCCAGGGACCTCCCTACACAGAAAGGGGTCAGACTTTTTTTAGGATGTCCGAACAATTTCCGTTAATTGCTCCTTATGAAGAATGTGGTCGCCACCGCGTCCCCATCCACTCAGCGAGTTCAGTCTTTCAGAAAGTACATATGCAGCAAGGTACGAGACGGAGAGAACCCCTCCCCCTGCTTTGTGTTGGTCATTGTCTCGCAGGAATCTGGGGAATTCCTTTCACTTTCAGACATCTTGGGGGATGTGTTAAGTAACAATAGTCTGGAATGTGTATAGGGATTGGACATGTTGGGGGGGGGTACCCCTCGGTCTCATTTCTTGCTGGGTCTAAGAAAGTAGGCAACTTTGCAAAAAACAGCAGAGCGACCCAACCGCAAGTTATTTTGCGAGAGGGATTTCAGACTGTTCATTTACAATTGTTGACCGTTCAGGGCGGCTCATATAACACCAGGGTATAAGTGTGAGCGCCAAGCACTGAATTCGAGGCTGTGGCTTACATTGTCTGAGACCGGACACGCAATTGGAATCCTGAGGCATTCTGCCGGGGACGGGACGCAAAGAAGAGACCTGGCGAGAGGATTTTGAACGACCTCCAGCCATTGTCCGTTTAAGCTCTGTTCAAATGCCACCTTTCTCTGTGGGCCTATTACACCGCAAGGGCCTATTGTCGAACCTCATAGGTTACATAAGCGTGATTTGCGCCTTTTTTTCTTTCTTTTTTTTTTTTTTACAACGGTGGGTTCCATCAAGGAGAGGCCGGCTTTGGAAAGATCAATAATTGTTGGTTTCACGAGCTTTCCCCCACCTCCAAGATGAGGTCACTTATGCGTGTCATCACAGGTAAAATATGGAAGCGCCCATCGCACTAAAGTTGAATTGGGGTGTAATAATGACGTGTGGGTCTGAATAGTCGCGGTTCAGACAAAGCTCAGTGGTCAAAAACCTTCTCGGTGACGCCCTTTAGGACCTACATGTATATTCGAGTCATCAGTTCATTCCCTTTTCAGCGACGCGCGCTCTGAAAAGTCCCAATAGATGTCGTTATAAATTGGTTAAGCCTGATTTTAGGCCCCTAGTTGGGCGTCACCCACCAGTCAGTGGAACACCATGCGACTTAAACAGATTAAATCCCTAAAAATGCCGATCAGCGGTGCGAGAATCTGCTTGCACAAGAAACACAGAGCATTCCGATTCTACTTATGCCGTTACTCAAAGTCATCGCGAAAGACGCCATCTATTAACCCTAACCCCCTAGGGACCATTGAAATCCTGCATTAACCTTGTTGGGTTCAGTATGGTTCGGGTTAACTTTGCCATAATTCAATAAAACGGGTCCATCCAAACAACCGAGGGGGAAAACGGATTTGAAAAACAACCTTGTAAGCAAAAAAAATCCGGGGTCCCGATTTTTGAAACCAATATTATAATAGTACCCCTATCCTATGTGTAGAAAGGGTCAACAGAGGGCAGCAAATGAGGAAATCAATATAGGGTCTTGTAAACACACACACATCCACGCCGAACAAACAACAAAAAGAGAAAAAAGACCAACAAAAGAAAACACCTCCCCAATAAAAATATTAGGGAGTTGGAAAAAATAAGTAACAAAAAAGGGCTTGCTTTGTCACAGGAAGGCAGAGAGCTCCAAATAATCACACAAAAGAGATGCAGGGCTGTTTCACGAACCAAAAGCAAAATTACAGAATTTTACATTCTTTGATTCTCTTGCCAGGTTTTGAGAGTTTTAAAATTCCGTTTTAAAATGGCTTCTTTCATCTCTTCTACGCCTACACAAACATTTTGTACAGAAGCTACAAGTTACGAACTTATACATTAGAAAAAAATTGATGCAGAAGCTGACGTATAGCACATTGTTTGAAGGAAATGACCTAATCTCGCGTGCTAAAATGTTGATAAAAAGATCTTTCAAACCACTGACATACATATACTGCGGAATAATTCTCGTCAAAGAAATCAACTCAAACCATGCCAAACATGACCAAAGCTACGTGATACGTTTTTTTCCTCCAACATTAAATGTTCTCTAGTCTTTTAACACTGTGTTTTCAATCTGCTAAACACTTACACCAAAATGCATTATTTAGAAACAGGTTCTTCAAACATGTACCTCCCAATGGGGTTTGCAAAATTTAAAAAATGGAAAAAAAGCAAAACTCAACCTACAACTGTTAAAAATACAATACCGTGTTTGGGGATAAAAATATTTCAAGCAGGAAAACATTAATCATTATGTACGTCTTTAAATTACCAATCCAGCTTGTGTCACCAAAACAGAAGTGCACACAAACAGGATTCTTCACATCACGTCAACTTGTTAACCTGCTTTAAGCACTTTTCACTGGTAAGTGCTTCCCACGTCAGATGCAGCTGTGACTTGAACAAAAAATAAACCACAACCTACACATTTATGGCCAAACTTGGGTTACAAATATCAAAATATAAAAACTGTACTAACATATACACATAAAGCTGCAATAGAATATTTTCGGGCTACAACTGCTAATTTCACTAGTGTTAATTAAAACTGCATTAAGAATACATGTATAATTGAAGATTAAAAGGTTCAAAATAAAATCGTGATCAAGTACTCTTTGATTTTAAAAATTTTGTAATGCGGACAAGAGGAACACTTTTTCTAGTTTCATAATAGCCATTTCAAGCTGTCACTGGACGAGCGTGGCCTCATCTATGCGGAACTTCTGGGCGCCGTTGAAGCGGCGGGGAGCCAGGCGGCAGACCGTGGCCGCCAAGACAATGACGACAGTGCCCAAAACGGCCAGGGAGCAGCCTACCATCAGCTGCACGGTGGAACTCCACTCCGAACGGGCGGCCATGCTGTGGTCAGGATCTGGTTTCCGTTGGGCTGGAAAGGAGAGGGACACACACAAAATTACTCGGCCTCGTCAGGCGACGGTGTCTCACGAAACAATCCTTAAGGCACTCCCGTAATCTTAGAGTTTTCATCAGAAGAAGCAAAGTGACTTCTTCGTTTTGGTGCCGAACCTTAGTCCGACATCCAGATGAAAATTGACATTTCATATGTGGGTGACAAAATTCTTTTAAATGCCTTTTACTCAAAAGTGGCATGGGCAACTTGCGAATTATTTTCTTGAGTTGGTTCTTAATTCTGCTCAGATCTCTGGATAAGCCAAGCATAACTGTTGCAATTGTGGGGAGAATTCTTGAACACACTACATCAAACATTTACGTGGGCTTGTTTGAAAGTTTGTAACTTTCATAAATGTCCACATTTCCATGAAGTGGCATTTCATGATCAGCACAAGGTGAAATGCAGACTGGAAATTTGTTACGACAAGTAGAATGGCCACAAAAGTTACAATTCCTTTCAGTATAAACTGTGAGCAACAGACGAGGTGAATTTTGATCTGCAATTCTCATTGTTGGGGAACATTCTTGCTTTTCATTTTCAGCACTATACGCCTACAGGAAAATGCTTGTGTACAGGGTTTCTTAACAACTCTCTCAGTGGGAGGCAATCTTTGGGTATTGTCGAGTCAATTCACGAGAGATTTTGAACAAGGCTGAAGAATGTCCTTAACTGTCAATCTTACATATTTCTGTAAAAGCACCCCTCTTGAAAAGGACCTTCATCAAATCCTGTGATTGGAATTGGAGGATCGTGGAATATTGCTGGACTTAAGGAGAGTGGACATTGCGAAGAGAAACGTGCCCATAGGAGTATCAAAAGTTCGTTCACAGTCTTTGGCTAAATTCAGGATGTCCGGTCTCAGCAAGTGCCGCAACCCACGGCCACCATACACTCCCAACAGAATCGAAACAAACCCAATCTTTACGGAGGGGGGAAAAACAACAGGACGGAGCAAACGGAGTGATTCTAACTCTTTACCGACACTCACTTGTGGTGGGGAGTGCGTGGCCAATCCCTGCCCCACTCCCCACTTTCTTGACTAGGGGCTAATGGGGCTGGTCTTAATGGATTGGCCTACTGATGGCTCATGCCACATGTGATCTCATAATTTCTCCCTCCTCGCTTTGAAAATCGTTCTGCTGCCATTACAAACGCATGCCTTACTACTCACAATTTGAGGTTTCTCTGAGGCAGACATGCTACGAACTTTACCAAGTAATATGGTGTCAGAATGCCACTTTGAGGGCACATTTTGGCTGAAGGACCACATGCAAAGGGAGTCAGTCTTTATGCCCCAAAAGGGATTTATATTTTTTTTGTTATTGGAATATTTGAAGTCTAGTCTTCAAGGTCCACAGGAGCAAGGTCCACAGAACACGGCATCCACTGAGCCAGGCATGCAACGACCCCGGAAGGGTCCAGACGCAGACCCAAGCTGGTCCAGACTTTTCCGGAGGTGCATGTTATCGCTCACCTTGCTCGCAACGCCGGCCCGCCCAGCCAGGGCTGCAGATGCACACGTAGGTTGTCGTCGTGTATTCGATGCACGTACCGTTGTTGGCGCAGGGGTTTGGCTGGCAGACATCCACCAAAGCTAAAGTGCCAAATATTTGAAAAATGGATCTTACTGACAGGGGTAAACATCGCGATCTTTCATTTCATAAACATTTAAAGCCATGGAATTTTCAAGTCCACTTATTGGTTAAACATGTCACTCACTGTGTTTTAATAAAGGTGATAAAAAATTGCACAAACGGGAAAACATTTTGTAGCAGGTTATGTTAAGATTTGCTTTCTTACCCTGTTACTTATATTAAAAGATTAAACTGTATTAAGTCGTACTTCAGCAGTGGACATGTTTTAGCTTGAGATTAAGCATCTTCCAACTGGTCAATTTTCTGACTGATTTGTTGCAGCTGGTTAAAGAAAAACGGCCAAACAAATTTGTAGGACTGAGCAAACATAGCACAAGAACCAGATGCGACCAGCTCAAATAAACATGACAGGGTGATTGGTGACCACTCCCAGAAGAAGCAAACCTCTGCGATTACCAGCACTAGACAGAATGGTCATTTATGCTAGGATCAGAGGCGTAACTGATGAAAGCAGGTACCTTGTTCACAAAGTATTCCTTCATAGCCCGTGGGGCAGGCACACATGTGACCGTTGTCCTTGTCTCCCATGCAGACACCACCATTCTTACACATGCAGCCATCTGTGTTGGGTGGAAGGAGGGTGGACAGCTATCAGTCAATGACAGTTCAACGTATAGGCTATGACTAGATGTCTCCTAACTTGAAATAGCATTGAATGACCGTGGGGGTGGCGGATTGTTGTTGGCACTTATTCGTGGCTTAAACTTCTCCAAACCTGGATCTGCCTTTCAGTTGTCATGGTAGCAGTACACTAATCGGTTACACTGTAGTAAAACTTAACGGAGTACACTTACCTGTTTTAATTTGATCGACATCACGTCTTCGTCTTCCATCAGCTACAAAACAAAACAAAACAAAACAAAAACTCAACACTGAACTTTGCAGAGTGCCCAGATAGTAATGATTGAACCTTTTAGATGCGTTAGATGAGGAAAAACACGAGTGAGATAAAATTGAATGAAAGAACAAAAACCGAATACATGACATGTTTGTTTCTCCTTTTTCAAACCTCAATTGGACTCTGGACTGTAACAGTGAGCACTTACCCAGACAGAGGTACTCGTTTTCTCGATAGTAACAGTTCTGGTCGGCGGGGCACGGATTACTGTTGCAAGGGTTTGTATTGGTCATGGCTGTGGATTGGAACAAAAATGCCCCGAGCTTTAAACCTGACAAACTGTTGTAATAAACGGTCAAGTTTCTATTCCGACTGTTTCCAATGCATATAAAGTTCATGGCATTTAAACCATTGTTTCTACTTTTTTACTGAGCATTAAATTTTGGGCATTTGGTTGCTTTATACGGCTAAATTGTTTTGAATTTGGTGAACTTGCTTGCGGACAGATATTCATAATGTTTTGCTGCTCTGTTTCTGTTCCACAAACATGCAATGGCACTTGAGACCTCATGGCAAATTCTGCTAGCAATATTGGCAAAATTCGACAGGATTAAGATTTTCTTGCAAAGTAATGGAATAGGATCAAATTCAGTAAGTCGGGTTTGTGGTTACATGATGTATAAACTATCTCCTTTAGTGAGTGTTGGTTTTGAGTGGAACTGATAACTCAACATTTCGGGCAGTCTCGCCAAAACGTCGAGTTATCGGTTCTGCTCAGAACCAACACTCACTGAAAAGCGAACTTAACCTGTTGACAATTCATTATGCAAACATTTCAAATGTACAGGTTTCAAATCACACGTACAATGCACAAATTCACACCGACAGCAACGGAAATGAAGAGAATTTATAGCAATAAAACTCAGTAAATCAGGGAATTTTTCAGTGACATTACTCACCAGCACTGACAACTACAACGAAAGAGCAGACGGCCTCATTTCCGGAGTTGTCTGTGAACGTGTAGGTGACTGTGGTGGATCCCACATTGAAGGAGTCACCGGGTGACGCATTGGACAAACGAGTGACCGCTGTGCCGGAGTTGTCGGTTGCCGTGGGCTCGACCCAAGTGACCGCTGCGCTGGTGGCACCAACGGCTGCTGTGGCCGCCTGGTTGCCGGGGCAGTTGGTTATTACGGGTGGAGTGTTGTCTGCCGGAGCTACGGAGGATGACGGGACAAAAATTAGGTCACAGAGTAAGCAACATTTGTTCAAAAAAACATTGGAGTGAGATCTGGAAATAAATTAATCTGAGACACGTCCAGGGTTTTTGTGGTTTTTCGATGCTATCGAGGCATGAGTTTTTTCACAAATGGCCATTTGGCGAAATGGCTACCAAAAAAATTGTGCACTTGGCTTTTGTCCAAAGGTTGGTTTTTGTAGCCAATCAAGACTGGTTAAACCTCTAACAATGCACAATTTTAGGGTGAACAATCCTGATGTCCCACAAATTAGGATAATCACAACACTGGAAACGTTGTTTAGGAGACATCGGAGGTTATTTGTCAGTTTTTTGCACTATTTCAATACAGCGCTAGGTTTCTTTTCCCCCACATCTTGGCCTGCTTGTTTAGTTTAGTTTTGCATCAGCACTTTGACCAGTTTTCAGCGTTTTAGTCTTTCGTCTCCAACTGTTGGAATAAAAATGAAAAAAAAAAATGGCTTCATATTACACAATTTGGCACTTCTGCAGCAGAAAACAGGAAAGCCCCGAGCTGGAGAGTCAATTTGCAGAACATAAATTTCTCAAACTAAACCCTCAAGCCATTACATAAAAAGAGAGCTTTTAGAAAAACCCCAATACGAGTGCAAAACAGTACGGTTCTTCTTGAGAACGCCAAAGTTACAACAACTAGCATATAAGCAACAAACAGCAAGAAAGGCGAAGAGCAGACCACCATATTGGATGTCATTTGTACCTGCCACCGTCACGACAAAGGAGCAGACGGCTTCGTTGCCAGATGTATCAGTGAACCTGTAGGTGATGGTCGTGGAACCGGCATTGAAGACGCTGTTGGGCACGTGGCTTCTGGTGACGCTGACAGGTTGTCCATCGTCATCTGTTGCCGTCGGCTCTACCCATGACACCACAGCATTGTTGGTTCCCGTTGCCGTGACACCATTTGGACAGTTGCTGATGACAGGTGGGGTGTTGTCCCCGGTAGACGTGCCCTCTGTGAAAAATGACATCACAGTTGACATCGGAGCAGATTGTCACAGGACGGTGATTTGGGGGTGAACTAACATTGATTTTTTTTAAAGCTAGCTTCATCTGATTTGTGTAATTCCACCACATTTGGTGACATCACACCAAAAGGGATTATTTCGAAAAATGTGTACACCAAGGCAGAAATAGTATGCCCCATCAGAGTTACCAGCTGGGAATAAAAATGGATGGACTCATTCAAATCCTGTTAGTGTGAATTATATTAAGCCAACCATGGCACCAATTTCGGCAAATCTGTAAACTCATTGACTTAATGTTATGAATTGGCTATTTGAAAACAAATTGTTACAGTCTTCCAAAAAAAATGAAAAGCTGCCTTTTACCAGAATAATGAATTTGTTTAAAACTGTTTTTCTTATAAACAATACCAACAAAGCACTTGGGGGAAACTGACAAGAACTATATTGATCCAGCAATGTGAATTTACTTTCAGAATGTTGACTTAACAACGGTCCCAATTTTTTTTTTTTTTACCTGTGACAGTGACGGTGAATTCGCAGGTGTCAAAGTTTCCAGAGTTATCGAAGAACGTGTACACCACCCTGGTGACCGTGTTGGCCGAAAAGGTGGCCGGGGGCGTGTGGGACCGGCTGACGCCAGGCTCCACGCCGCTGTTGTCGGTCGCCGTCGGCTCAATCCAGGAGACCGTGGCCGTATTGGAGCCGGCGTCTGGAGCCGTCGTTTGGGAAGCCGGGCAGCCGGAGATGACCGGTGCTGTGGTGTCACTGGCAGTGGGACCTAAAGTAACGAAAAATCAAGCACAACCGCATGATTACGAGATTATTTGGACAAATATGAATGCACAGCCACCGATTAGTGCTCGATTACAGAGTCCGAGTGCTTCTGAATTTCAGTTTTAAAACTCTTTGAGCAAGAGGGCAAGTAGACTCGATCTTACTATACCCAGGCATGGCCGACAGCTAAAACGTCAAGCACGCCATGACTCACCTCTGGTGGATGTTTGAATGAGTTAATCCTAATCTGTTTCACACAGACCCAAAGTCTGAGAAAAGTACAGGCAGATCGTGCACTGGACTCAACCGAAGCGCACAGCCTACTGAGGTAGCTAAATGTCACTCCAAGGGAACTCGCCAAGTGTTGAAAAATATGCATTTTTGCGGTAAAAATGATCGAGTACTGTTCAAATGACTCCCAAAAATTCATACAAGATAGTTGCTACAACTTGTCTTTCTCGGAAGTTACAGGTCTTGCCCAAAAAAGGTACTTTTTGCCAGTGGTTGATGATGGTTAAAAAAACGGTAATTATCAACCATGTGTTCTATTAATGAGTATCAGCCCAACGTATGCAAACTTTTTGTACATTGTCCGCTCATGTGCACAACTCTCTAAGTACTCAGAAACTGATATGACAAAGTGAGCCATCTCGTATCAAAAATGTCAATTTTTTCTACTCACTGGAAACCATGACGACAAACTGGCACCGCGCTTCATTGCCGGAGGGATCGGTGAACGTGTACGTGACCTGGGTGTTTCCGAGGCCGAAGGAATCTCCAGAATCGTGCGTAGATGTTCTGGACACAGTGCCACCAGAGTTATCGGTGGCAGTCGGGACGGTCCAGGTGACCGCGACCGAAGTGGCACCCTGGGGCAGTGTTGCTGAGGCACCCGTCGGGCAGTTGGAGATGAGCGGCGGTGTATTGTCCACTACCGAGCCTGTGTACATACCAAAGCCAAAGATATGCCAATATACAAACTGGAATGTATAAATCTTGACTTTAACCTTACCACCCTAGAATAGATAGTGAATTTGAGAGCTTCCGAATAGATAAAGACGGAAAAATAACTGTTTTGAAATGAGAATGTAAGCTGGCAAACGCAGCCAAAAATTAGCTTTTAATTGTAATCATCAGCATGCTTGAAATAGTGCTCTATTGACTTGAAACTGTTTGACTGCAAAGTCTTGCTTGAAAATTCACTTACTGAAAGCAATCGGCAGTCAATTTCCAGAAAAAATTGGGAGAACCCGGCACCCTGTGCACAGCCTTGTGCCACAATTTATGGTGATTCCGTGAAAGTTGCCTGGATGTGCGGCGTTTCAATTACATTAAATGTCTTGGACGAGGACATATTGCAACATTAACCCTAACACTCCTCAGTCCTCCAACAGGTGAAGGATTGAGGAGGGTTAGGGTTAACGATGCCTCTTAAATGCTACAGCTCCTCTTCATGCCATTTTGAAAATTTCTTTGCTTTGTTGAAACTGGCTCGAGAATCTCAGAGTTCTCTCACAACAAACAAGCTTTGCATTACTTCCAAAAAACTAAGTTGTACATTTCTCGTAACTGTGCACCTTTAGTGTTACAACTCTTTTTGGTTTATTTCCACTTTCTTGCAACCGGCAGGTTCAACTGTGAAGTGGTCACATCCAACATACAATTGTAATAAATACAACTAAATGTATATAATCATTACAATTTGCAATATTCATTAAGAGATAAGGCTAGCAACGATGACCCATAAAAATGCACGATTTGTTTAAATGTTCACCTCCTACTGGCCTCCTGCAACTTGCACCACCTAAAAAGACTGCAGAACTTACGCCATGCTGCGCAAGACGCAGACTAACGCAGTGTTTAACTTGCGTTTAAAATGTGCTGTGATCTGTTGGACAACTCACACAAAATGCGACATGAGTGAAGTTACGCCACTGCGTAGAGTATCCTGAAATGTACAGATGATACGAGACAAACGCCACCATTTTACCTGGGTTCACCGTCACTATAAACGAGCAGATGTTCTCATTTCCCGAGTTGTCGGTGAATGTGTAGGTGACCGTGGTGGATCCCAGGTCGAAGGAGTCGCCGGGCGAGGCATCGGACGAGCGCGTGACGGCAATGCCGGAGTTATCGGTAGCCGTGGGCTCGACCCACGTGACCACTGCGCTGTTTGCACCAACGGCTGCTGTGACGGCTTGGTTGCTGGGACAGTTGCTAATGACCGGTGGAGTGTTGTCCGTGGCTGAATTTAATTAAGCAAGCAAACAAACAAACGGCATCAATATTCGACAGAATATTCTCCACCTTGGGTTCTCCTGGCATTTTGATTTCACGTTGATGAGCTCCCCTGTCGAAGTTAACGTCCAGAAGTGATACCACCGGCGTAACTATGCCGGGGGGAGGGGGGAGGGGAATGATGATGTCCCCACTGGAAGTTTGTGCCCCTATCCCTGTGTGTCCCCCATTTCAGTCATGTTTTTTCCTCTGAGTGGTTGCTAAAATTATAGTTAGCCATCGGTACAAAATTACAAGACTGATGCAGTGTTAAAATTTGACGCAGTTACGTGTATCAGAACACCAGAAAATAACGCATATAGTACTGAATATTAAATGAAAATATAACCCAATTTAAATTAATGGGACAAATGTCCATTTTCAACAAATTTGAGGTGAAATCCAAAACCAACCAAAAGGGGATATTTCTGCCCCTACAAGCTGCAGGCAAAATGAAAGTGGTCTACATGTGCACACCGGAATTCATGGTTTTAGTGCCCCCTTGAAAATATGAGCGCCCTCCCTCTGTTCCCTTCAAGAAACTTCACCCGAGCTATGCTACCGAGTAACACTGATTAAACTGGTATTGACCTAGAGTTCAAATTTTTACCTGGGGTGACTGTTACGACAAAGCTGCAGATGGCCACGTTGCCGGACGTATCGGAGAACGTGTAGGTTACAGTCGTGGAACCGACATTGAAGATGCTGTTGGGCTCGTGGCTTTTGACCACGCTGACGGGTTGCCCGTCGTTGTCTGTCGCCGTTGGCTCCACCCAAGACACCACCGCATTGTTGGTTCCCGTGACCGTGATGCCATTGGGGCAGTCGCTGATGATGGGTGGGATGTTGTCGGTACCAGGTGAGCTTGCTGTCAGTAAAACACCATGGGAAACAAACATCACCAATACAATGGCCATAACAACCACCACAAATCTACGCTGGTTTTGTTTTGTTGACCTCTGATTAACATGAAAGGAAACCTTGCAACTTCCCCATTATTAATGCAAGTTGAAACAGAAAACCATTTTCATCCCTTGCAACATCAAATCAGAATGAAAATCTTTGATGCCTCCTTGTCGTTAGCATGAGTACTTTCTTCTTTCCTGATCACCAAAATCCTTTCACAAAAAAAAAATACCCCGATGGAGGACCACTGGCAACGGTGGGGGTTGATTCAATTCACCTGTGACGGTTATGGTGAAGTCGCACGTGTCGAAGTTGCCAAAGTTGTCGTAGAAGATGTAGGTGACCCGCGTGACCGTGTTGGACGTGAAGGTGGCGGGAGGCTGGTGGGACTTGGCCACGCCCGGCTCCTGGCCACTGTTGTCCACCGCCGTGGGCTCCACCCAGGAGACGGTGGCCACGTTCGATCCTGCGTCCGGCGCCACGGTCTGGGAGACGGGGCAACCTGAGATTACTGGGGCTTGAGTGTCACCACCGCTGAAGCCTGGAGAGGGAAGAGAAACAGGGTAACGCTATGCAACAAAGATAAACTTTACTGTAAGTTTTCACAAGTTTTTTCTAGCACAAGGGAAATCTCTGACAACCAAAGGTATCCTAAATTATTGCACATAATTTTATGGCATTAATCTTTCCGCAATTGGAGAGTTTAAACAAATCTTTTACTTTTAAAATTATTTATCCTTTCAAGTCATTTGATTTAACTGTGGACAGGATTTTAAATCAGATTTGATTTTATTTCTTCATTTCAAGCCTGTTAAAATGACAGAGTGACTCACTGGAAACCATGACGACAAACTGACACCGTGCTTCATTGCCAGAGGGGTCGGTGAATGTGTATGTGACCTGAGTGTTGCCAGCGGAGAACAAGTCTCCAGAATTGTGGGTAGAGGTTCTGGTTACGGTGCCGCCAGAATTGTCCGTGGCAGTTGGGACAGTCCAGGTGACCGCAACTGAAGTGGCACCCTGTGACAGTGTCGCTGAGGGGCCCATTGGGCAGTTAGAGATGACCGGTGGTGTAGTGTCTGTAACAGTCCCACCTGGTCAGGCAAAACAAAAGACAACTCAGGTTTGGCACATAAGCCTCCAGATTTTTTCACAGCAATTCTGTATAAGAATATTTATACCCCAGTACTGAATATTTATAAAACTGTTCGTCTGAAGCAATCCCAAAGCTTCATTTTCCTGTTCTTAGAAAGAAAACTTAGTATCAAAAGGACGGCGTGATGCAAGAAGTACCAACTTACTGTTAACAGTCACAACAAATGAGCAGACAGCTTCGTTCCCCGAGTTGTCGGTGAATGTGTAGGTGACGGTGGTGGATCCTAGGTTGAAGGAGTCACCGGGCGATGCATTGGACAAGCGTGTGACGGCAATGCCGGAGTTATCAGTAGCCGTGGGCTCAACCCAAGTGACCACTGCACTGGTTGCACCAACGGCTGCTGTGACCGCTTGGTTGTTGGGACAGTTGCTAATGACCGGTGGAGTGTTGTCCGTGACAGTCCCTAATTTGGAATGAATTAGCAACGTTCAACTACAACTTCTCTGTAAATGCGTCAGAACTAAAAATACAAATGCTTCAACCAGAATAAGAACAATGACATCTGTATCTTTGAAGAACTCCTAATCATCAGCAGTTTTGGGGATCTCTCTAATTTAAAGTGTTTAAGTTTCACACTTCTTGATATTTCATTCTTGTGCTCAAAGCGAGTACACAAAATAGTTCCAACAGATCAGAAACTGCAGCGAGTACCAACATAATTCAGAAACATAAAATCTTACACATGTGGTGTAGTAAAACTGCTCTGTTGTCGGGCAAACTCCTTTAAATTGTTGAGTGGAAAATGAAGCTTATTTGTTGACTTAACTTGGATGAAAAGCCTCTCAAGCAAAATAACCAAGGATTGCCTCATTTCCAGAATTACAAAGTATGTTATCAAAAAAAGGATAACATTTGATGCTGAGCACAGACTGTCGATATTCACAATCTCAATTTTACCTGGGTTCACTGTGACGACAAATGAGCATACGGCGTCATTGCCAGAGATGTCGGTGAATGTGTAGGTGACCGTGGTGGACCCCAGGTTGAAGGTGTCACCGGGCGACGCAGTGGACACCCGGTTGACCGTAGCACCGGAGTTATCGGTTGCCGTCGGCTCAACCCAGCTGACCGCTGCACTGGTGGCACCGACCGCTGCTGTGACCGCTCGGTTGCTGGGGCAATTGCTGATGACCGGTGGAGTGTTGTCCACGACAGTTGCTGAATCGGATGAAAAGGCAGAGCATTATACTTGCTTCTTAAATGTATAAACCTCGAGGTCAAAGTCTTCAAAGTGAAAAATTGAAAATAACAACGCAATAAAATTAGAGCGCATTCCTAACAAGCTGTAACGAGACGTGAATAGCAGAAGTATAATACCATTAATTAAAACAAGAGTTCATTTGGACAAGTATCTGACTGAGAAAGGGCCCCGTGTAATTTTACAGCCAGAACAATTAAGGCATACTAATGGATACTTGATCATTTCTTACGTATATCCGGGGTACCAGTATGCGTTGGATAATCAGACTTCTCAGATTTCACTTTTTGCTATTAAGAGGTCGTTAAAATAACCTCAGGCTCTTGTGGGTAAATTAATTGGTCAAACATTTTTTGAATGACCCTGTCTAGGGTATGGACAAATCACACTGCGACAAAACACAGGCATTCTGTTGTGTGAATCTTGCCCCTTATATCACACATTATGGTAAATTGGTGGGAGGTCCGGAAGGGGAAGGACCACAGACTTACTAGAGATGGTGATAAAGAAGGTACAGATGGCGTAATTCGAGCTGGGGTCGGAAAAGACGTAGGTGACGGCCGTCGTGCCGACGGGGAAGCTGGAGCCAGAGGCGTGGGAGCTGTAGACCAAGAACGCCGAGCCCGAGTTGTCGGTGGCAGTGGGCGCGGTCCAGGTGACGACGCTGCTGCTACCGGTGCCGACGATCCTGTTGACCGAGTCCGGGCAGCCGTCAATGACGGGATCTATGTTATCACCTGTCGGTGGGAAAAAACATACTGGTTTAGAAAAATTCCCCAAAATCTGTGGGTGTTATCCATAGCCCTAAGAATTTTCAAAGTACCAATACTCTACGGAAGTTTACACACGCCTTGGCGAATGGCAAGAAAGAGAAGTTGCAGCTTGCGACTTGGCCTGCTCTGAGGCAGACCCAAGAAATCTTTTCCTAAATCAGTTATCAAGTTCTTGACCTTAAGGTTTCAGGGTTGTTTTTCAACAACCTTCTGAATTCCCCCCAAATTTGGGACTGACCGAAGATGACATCAAGCCCTTTGTGAATTGAAGAGAGGCCTTGCTGGACCCAAGTGCATCCAAATTATGCAAAAAAAAAAAAAAAACTGTTGGACTGGGCCACATTTTAGAAGTTCTTTCTTCAGGAAATCAAATTCGGTACAGAAGGAAGCCTTCCCCAGAGTATGACCCAATCAATGGGATTTGGAAGAGCAGAAACTTGTTTCAAGGCCACTGAATACATTTTTGCATGGGGCTGCAGGTGTTTGCTGGTGTAAGGAAGAGTATTTATATGCCTTTATTAATGTAGGTGTAATCCAACACCCCACCCCCGTTCCAACAGACAGAACAGAGGACAGACTGCACACACCAAGCACTTGGGCCGTGTTGTCTTAGAAAGAGAAACATTTCTTCCAAAATAACTTACCGACTGGGATTTCACAGGTGGAGCCGGCGTAACCCGCAGGGCACGTACACACAAAGTAAGTGTTGAAGGCGGTGCACTGGGCACCGTTCTTGCACGGGTTGCTGTTACAAGGATTGGCGCCTGCCAGAACAAGAGAAAAATATTAACTTCAAACTTTCAGAAAATAAAATATCTACATTTTTCTCGTTCTCTACACGATAAAAGCCAGGCACACACTCGCCTGTGCCTTGATATCAACCATGTGAGCATCTGTGTTCAACATGATTTGGAAACTATGGAAACGAAGAGGCAGAACACTTTGATGTTCACTTTTTGTTTGGTGTTCTCGTTTTTTCTAAACCGTTAAGTTGAACTGTTATGTATTTTATTTCTTCTTATTCTATCGCTCGGCCTATTCCGCAGAATTGAAGTTGCTGAGGAGGCCAACGGACAAAAATGCAGGGACAATAATTTCCCTGAAGAAACGTCGGTTGACAGGGTCCCGATAAACTTACTGATGGTCTCGCAGTTGTGGCCGATGAAACCAACCGGGCAGTTGCAGATGTAGTCCACGTTGTTGTCGAAGCTGTGGAATGCATTGGAGCAGGTTGCCCCTTGCTCGCAGTCTGGCGTGTCCTCGAGGGAGCAGACGTTCAAGGAGGGGTTGTCAACTGAAAAGTAATGTTAGAATTTTGACATCGCAGAAAGGATTTGGAGACAAAAAGTTGAATTCTTTTGAATTCAAATGCAATCTGCCTCTGTGACGCTATTGGTCAACGAGACATTTAAAATGTGCCCATGTTCTGCATACGACAGAGTTTGACAACCAGAATCAGAAGCCATTACCGCAGCGGCACAACGCTCGTGGACAGGCGGTAAGCGCACGTTACGTGCCTCTTCGACCAACAGGGTGTCCTGATTTATCTATTACACGCGTGTGTTAAGCTGAAGAATGTGCGTGCATATGCAGTGCCACCAGAGCTTAATGGGATTAGTCTATTACCACAAGAGTGAGTCCCAAGTCCAGTCCTCAAATCGCTCTTACCGACAGGACTGGCACAATTGGGGCCAGTGAAGCCATTGGTGCACTGGCAGGTGTACTGCGGGATCAGATTGGTGCCCGTGTTGCTGTTGTAGCTGTTGAAGCACGTCGCACCGTTCTGGCACGGGCTGGTGTCGCACAGGTCCATGGCTGGTACACTGACTGCATTGCGGAGGAATGCACACAAGCAAGCATGAATACCAGGGATGACATTTAAGTCCAGAATATCATCTATGCCCGATGAACAGGGGTAACATTAATAGGTTTAAGTACTCTTAACCCCTAAATTGTCCAAAGGCCTGTTATACATAGCGAGACTAGCCCTTCTTCGCAACCTTTCAGGAAACAATTCAAAGAACTTGTTTTACATGAAATCTGAACCCATCTCACCAATGGTGCTCTGACAGTTCTGGCCCACGTCGTTCGGAGAGCAGAGGCAGACGTAGTGGTTGGCGTCCATGGTCAGGCAAGATGCTCCGTTCAGACAGGGGAAGCTGTTGCACGGGTTGGGATTCACGGTGACCGCTATTTCGCAGTTGACCCCAATGTGGGTGTTGGGGCACGAGCAGGCGTACGACGCGCACGTCCCCTGAATGACGCTGCAGACGCCACCATTCTGGCATGGGTTGTCGTCACATGGTGAGCTGATGGCTGCAAGTACAAATCAAAATCAAGACCTTTACACTTCAGAAAGACAGAATGGTGATTTAAAAGTGGATGGTGGAATTGTATTAAACTTACATAGACCTTAACCAAAAAATTTACAGAATTCAATTTTTCGACTTATAAATTATGTAAATTTATATACCAAAGAAGAATTTTGCAGAGAACTGAACATAGCAATACATATAGAACAGAATTTTGACCAGTGCCCTGTTCAATAGTCTCAGAACAGACGTTTCCATTTTCAAACAGTTTTGCGAAGCTTTCCCTTCTTTCAGATCAACCCTAACTTGACGCTTGAATGGGACTTGAAAAGAGATCAAAACTGAAAGAAATGTGACTTACGGATTTCGCAGTTGAAGCCGCTGAAGCAGCCGTTGCACTGACAGGTGTAAGAGTAGCAGTTGTCGGGCAGGACAGAGCACTCGGCTCCGTTCAGACAAGGGTTGGGATTACAAGCATCACGCTCTGGAATTAAAATGAGCCGGCACGGTTTAATCTACATCTCTGCAGAAAACACAAAGGGCTGACTATTTTTGTGGGCAAAACCGACAAAGAGATGGACAACTCGATCAGACATTTACGCACAGTGAAGAAGGACCAGGCTGTCTTGAAGAATGATTTTCAAAACCTGAAACTGTCAATGGGCATATCAACTCTTTTCTGACGACATGTTAAGGCCTTTGAAACAATTTGATGAATTTTCTTTTTTTCTTTTAAAAAGGCACAACTCAAAAATGTGAAACCAACAGCTCTGTTTGTCACCCTCGCTGACCACTGAGCAAGCAAGCTTCCTTTTCTATTAGACTTCATATAGAGGATTTTTTTACTTTTTAACGTGTTTATAAATCATGCAACACTGACTCTATGCAAGAGCACACTTCGGGGTTTGATTGCTACGACTAGGACGTAAACTTAATCTTGGATTTATCGGTGAAAACGCAATAGCAAAAAACGTTAAAAAGGCTGTTTTGCACAATGGTTCACAGGAGCATCTCACTGGACTTGGCAAAAATTAGTCCGTTGTGTTTATATACTTACGGACTTCGCATCTTTCGCCGGTGAAGCAGCCCGTGCACGCGCACGTGTACTCAGAACAAGCGTAGACGTTGTTCGGACTGACAACCGGCGCGCAGACTCCTCCGTTCTGACACCCATGGTTGGCACAGGCAGATATGGCTGTTGGCATACAAGCAACGGTGGAATTATTTCTCCTTCGATGATACACAGAGCCAACGACAACATTTGGGGAATCGGAAAAGTTTCGGGGCTTAGGTTTCTGTGTACATTTACCAACTTTGCTGAGAAAAAAAAAAGCATCCGTGGGAGCCACACTTTAAACTATACACCCCTGAAATTAATTGTAAGTTGATAAGATGAGGAAGAGAGTGGCTTGCAGAAAAGAAGTAGTAAGTACGATGTCGACAAAATTACAGTTCTGTGCGGAGAGACCATACAAATGTGACTTGATCAACCTAACAATCCAAGCCACAAGTCATTGGAGTCATTGGTTTAAAATCTTGTGCGACGTGACTCAATTGAAACCCTCAACATTTGCTCCGTGTTCACCAGGACACCCAACTGAGTGAAAAAAGTAAAAAAAGAGCCTAGTTTGCTCTGACCGAAAATAGCGTCTAAAACTCATTTTGTCTGAGACAAGGCAGCTGAAGGGCATCTTTACAATTTTTGTTTTGTTTGGGGCTGGAGGAAGTAGCAAGACTTTTTTATAGACATTTTATGCTTGAATATAGTGTAGAGCCATCTTTGTACGGGAAGAGGCCCAGTGTCGTATGGACAAAGGGGCCAACCGCGCAGAATACTTACGGATGTCGCAGAATTGTCCAGCATAGCACGGCGGGCACTGGCAAGTGTACTCGATACAGTTCTGGCTGCTGCTGACGCAGACCGCGCCATTGGCACACTGGTTGTTTTCGCAGCTGTCCACTCCTGATAAAGAGAGAATAACAGCACTGTCAATAAACCAGGCGAGCCTCTGGATGAGGCATCCAACAATGCAGAGCTCATTTTGTTATTTACAATTTTCAGTTTAACCGACAAATTAACCCATCTAATTTTGAGCCCTCCAACTGCAACCAAATTTTTCAAACTCTCAAAGGAGCTTCAAGGCCGGAGGAAATTCCACCTTTGGTGGTTTTTGTTTGCAATTGCTATAGCTTGAGTTTGTTAAAATTTGTCGCAAGTTAAAAAAAGGAACATAATGAAATGGGATTACATAATAGCTGCGCATGCAAACAAACAGGACCGTACGAAAACCTGCAGATCCCGACTCTTTGGGAAAAGAGCTTCTCGTCAAAAAAGTGCCATAAAAAGAGAGAAACACGTGGACTTACTTCGTTCACAGAACTGTCCGATGAAGCAGCCGGGGCACTGGCACTCGTACTGCGTGCAGGAACCAGGCAGGGCAGCGCAGGCTGCTCCATTCTGGCAGGTGTTACCGTCGCATGCATCCCTCGCTGATGGTTGCAAGGACGTAATAGTTCTTTATTCATTTAATCCAGGCTCGTCAAAACACAAATTTGAAAAACGGTACGCTGATACATCAGGAGATAATTTACGTTCGGTATTTACATATTCATGATTATTTTCAAAACCTACTCAGGTAAAGAGCAATTAAGGAAAATCATAAAGAATTTCAATCCCGAGTTCCCTGAACAGCTGTTCCTTGACGCTTTTGTTTAATGTCCCCAAAGTCTTGAGAAAACGAACCACATTTATCAAAGCAGGTAATGAACCAGTTCAAGAGCACCACCCACAAAATTCACAGTACTGTGGTGGTGTAATGGTGTACATTAATCTCATTTTAAAGAAATAGGAACAACCATGGAACAGCATCAGAGGCTGTGTGATACCGCAATTTTTTTCAGCGGAACTCCTAATGTGGTTATTTCATTAACCAATATAAATTTGAGCAATATGATTTCGTATTTCTAATTATCATCAGTTGAATGTCGTGGAATAATTACAAGAAGCAGCACTGATATCAGAAACTGTTTTCTAAATAAGAAGGGCCATTACGTTCTCCTTGAAAAAACTTACGTAGCTCGCAGCGATTACCAGTGAAGCACTCGGTACACAAGCAGCGATAGGCCGTGAGTGACTCTGAAATGCAGGCGCCGCCATTCAGACAGGGCTGGGACAAGCATGGGTTGGCTGAGGTCAAAACCATAAAACAGTCTCTCGTTACAAACAAAGAAAACATGTCTTGGAGAAAGAAAAATTACAAAAAAGGTGACATACTGGTGAGTGCAAAAAAATTAATGCAAATGTGAATTGGCAAAGTCATGGTAAAAGCTCCGCGGCACAAAGTACCAACATGTGTTGACCGTGACCCACCATAGAGTTGAACAGTTGCTAGCTGGTCTAACAAAATGAGTCATAAGACCAATTCTCAGCAAGTTATTTTGTCTGACTGGCACTGAAAAGAGCACTATTTTTTTTTTTTTTAGATATCAATTTTTGACATTCTGGTGAATATGGACGGATATGCGTGTCTGAGAACCCTTAGAGGCTCAGACCGATGACATTGCGAAAAATTTCGATGAAGGTCTTTGACTCGGAGGTGGCTCTGCTGTATAGTGTAATTCGACAACCAGAATTAGAAGCCATTACTGCGGTGGCACAACGCTCGTGAACAGGTGGTACGCACGCGTTACATGCCTCTTCGACCAATAGGGTGTCGTGATTTGCCAAACTGAAGAACGTGCATCTCTGTTCCCGACTCTGCCCTATATTTAGGCGCTACTTTTCAACGGGGACAGATACCACATTTCTGCAGATATTGCCCTGCAGGGATGACTCACCTTCATTGATGGTCACGGTGAACATGCAGGTTGCCTGGTTCCCCGCCTCGTCCTCAAAGATGAAGGTGACATCCGTCTGGCCAGCCGGGAAGAGATCGCCGGAGCTGTGCGAGTTGAAGGCCAGATTGACCACGCCCGTGTTGTCCGTAGCGGTGGGCTCCGTAAACTGCACAGCAATTGGGGCGGTCCCGGTCAAGATGGTCTGAGTGATGCCAGCTGGGCAGTTGACAATCGTAGGACGTATTGTGTCCACTGTGGTTCAACAAAGATGGATGACAATTTTCAGCAACGCTCATGCTTGAATAATTAAAAGTGCAAGCACCACAGTCAAAGTGGAGAGGCGCTACACATGTGCTCAGTTCAATTTCTTCAGTGCTATCCTTTTTGTGTCTGAAATGGCAGCATCGAGGTGAGATGATTTTTAGGAGCATTATGATCCCGGGGGGGATTAATAATGATGTCAGGTGTTTTGACTGGGTACCTGAATTAGTGCGCATTTGAAGTCCATGTAATTAAGTTCCGAGCGGCTCATACACAGTTTCGGGACTTCTTGTGTTCTGTTCACTGTCCTATTTTTCCAAGAATTTAGACTAGACTGTGATGCCGCAAGGTCATTTTGATTTAGGGGCCTGTTTGTGTAAAACAATGCACTTAGCATCTTACTTCAACATCGATAGGGCTTTTGCACAGGTCACCCAACATCTGTGAAATAACAAGGCTCAAACGAGTTGACCGTATTGGACAAAAGGTGGCATTCTTCATGGTGGCAAAATTACTGATGTAAAGTACAGCGGTAATGAAACTCGCTTGTCAAAAAAGCAGCAATCATGAAAAAAAGGGCACTCATGACAAAAAGGACAATCGTTTGAAAGAAAACTTTGGCCCGGAGGGGGTAAATTCATGTTACTTCTGGATTCTACACAACTGCTGTAAATATCATTAATGGGTAAAAGGAAAACAAGAAATTAGAAACACTGTTGTTATTCAGATGTAAACGCTCAATTACTTCACCGCGTTATGTTTTCAACAATAGCACGCTTCGGTCAACATGTGAAGCTCTGACTTCAACTAATTTACGTCAAATCAGTGACACAATATTCTCTTTCTTGTAGAACGTGTGATTAAAAAATTATCAGAAAGTAACCAAGAAAGCAAAAATCCAGTCGGGAAATAATTACCCATTATGATTGTGATGGTGAACTGGCAGGTGGCTTGGTTGCCGGAGGGATCCACCAGGACATACGTGACGACTGTCTCGCCAACGGGGAAAACATCGCCGGGCTGGAAATTTCGCTGAGCGATGATGACCTGCCCTCCAGTGTTGTCGATGCCCGTGGGCTCGGTCCACACGATGGACTTGCCGGACACCCCAAACTCCACCTGGTCCACGATGTTGCTCGGACAAGTTTGGATGACCGGTGGTATGGTGTCAACTGTGTCGAAAAGGACCAACAAACAGGGTCGTTCCGTGCCAGTTTTGAATTCCTTCCAACATGTGACCTAATTTTTATTTGACCCCAAAATTCCTAAAACACCTTGACATACCAAACGAAGTAATCTAAAGTTTAGGCTTGATTTCTTGTAGTAGTGTCTGAAAGTTCGCGGGGCATTGCCACTTTTTCGGCACCCATGACATTTTTAGTAGCATCACTGAAGGCCTATATATTTTAGTCAAATATTGATAAAAGCCGAAAATTGTTGTGAAGGCTTCATCCTGCCCATGTATTCAAATTCTGTAATAAGTCAATTACATCTCTCTCTATATATATGGATGTTAACAAGTGACTTAAAACGGTGGAAGATGAACGGTCGAAATGCAGGTGTTGGAACAGTCTTACAAAGAACTCAATTCCAATTCTGTGGATCCAATTCTAAAGACCAAATTTTGGGGTAGTATTCCACAGATGAAGAAAAAAGCTACAGGCCAGCCGATACTGCTAACAACACCGAGAAAAAAAAGAATAAAAGAGTGCAGACAAGTACTGCTCTCGGGTACCTTCCATAATAGTGACGGTGAAGCTGCAAGAGTTCTCGTTTCCGGCTGGGTCCCGGTAACGGTACGTCACGATGGTCTGCCCTGTCAGCAGGAAGTCCCCAGGATTGTTGGTGTTCTCCACCAGGGAGAAGCTGCCCGAGTTGTCGGTGACCGTCGGGGCCAGCCATGTGATGACTGCACCGCCAGCACCAAACTGGACGATTTCGTTGATGTTGGCAGGGCAAGTGACCACAGGTGGTATTGCATCGCCTGTAATTCAGGAAATAAAATGTCTAGTGCATCAAAATAAGAGCCAACTGACATTATCATACAACCCATATGTCTCCCTAACATGGAACATCCCACCCTCAGAGTTATGACTCGAGTCAATGACTCGACTCAAGTCTGACCCGAGTCACAATTTTTGGCAACTTGACTTGACTCCCAATGGGTAAAATGACTTGACTCGAGTCTATGTAACCAAATGACTTGACTCAACTCAAATCTCTCATGGAGACTCATTTGAGTACAAGTTTATCAGACTCAAGTCTCAAAAAAATTAAAAGCAAAATTTTAGTAGGCTAAATATCTGTCATTTATTTTCAGTTTATCTTAATGAAAATAAAAATACACAAAATACCTTGCATTTTGTTCAAAAGTTTGTGACTCAAATTGACTCAAGCTCAGTACTTGACTCGACCACACAAAGTGACTCAACTCATCTTCTTGACCTTGTAACTCAACTCACAATGTTAAAATGACTCAACTTCCCTCAAATCCCCAACTTTAGTAGCTCGTTACAACACTGCCTACGCTTCAATCATAATGCCCTAGAATGAAGGGGGAAATGGAGGATTGAAGACAAGTGGAACTTTTCCTGGGGGCAAAGTACACTGATCAATTGTATACAACTTTTTCTCCTGAACAGGCCAACTTTCAGGAGGTTAAAATTCGTAAGTTGAAAAATTGCAAGAATTTTCTCAAAAGTTTCACCAACCCAGCTCCGTTACGGTCACCATGAAAGTGCAGAAGGCTTGGTTGCCGGCTGCGTCCGTGAACGTGTAGGTCACCGGTGTCTGGGTGTTGGCATTGAAGAAGTCCCCGGAGTTGTGGGTCTGGGTGGTCGTGAAGTCACCCGAGTTGTCGGTGACAATTGGCTCGGCCCACGACGCTGTGGCTCCCGCAGTCTGGAAGGGGACGTTGATGGTGATGTCCGCAGGGCAGTTGGTCACTTCAGGAGGAGTGGCATCACCTGATAACAAACACAATTTCCAATAATCCGAAGTGAACAAAATTGTCCTCGGCAAAGTCTACTTACAATCAGTTCCATTTTGGAGAACACGCATTGAAGCGGGCTACATGCGTCATCATTGCTCTATGTACATGCAAAACAGATTTGTGCATATAAAATGAAAATACACATACTGGAAATGGATAGGGGAATGAACTGAAAACACCTGTTAACAGAAAACTTGTCTGAAGCTTATTTTAGTCACAGGCTTCCATTAAAGTAGTTATAATCCGAGGGGTATGAAAGCACTGTCTGTCAGTGGTCACTGATGGGTCAAACAGTTGAGGGTACCCAGAAACTTGAGTGATAAATCTGTGCACGTGTCCAAGCCCCCAGTAACTCCGCACGGGCCTACATGCAGAAAATGTCTTGGAAGTCTTTGTAGGCCGGCCACGTGTTAAACTAATTTGACTAGTGTGCATGGCCAGCTGTCGTAAATATCCCTCCATGGCAAAGGCCCAGGGGCCAATTTCATAGAGCTGCTTAAGCACATAATTTGCTAAAGCAGGAAAAAACTTTGCTTAATAAACAAAGGTTACCAGCTCAAACTCTACCTGATTGTCATGCTAACCAGAAAGCAGCTCAATACGATCCCAAAAAAAATATACATCACATGGGATTTGGGCTAGTTACCTGATTTATCAAGTAAGATTTTTTTCGTGCTTAAGCAAGTTTTGTACTTAAGCAGCTCTACAAAATTTGCCCCAGTGTGTCACACAAACAAGACTGTGGTAAAAAAAAATTGGCCCAGTAATAATTTCAAGGCATATATACGATTAGCAATCAATATGGATGCAACATCTCACAGTATCTGTCATTCAAAGGTGCTGATATAGTATCATTTTCCCTGCACATTGGGCTCACAACATCTGAACATGCCCAAGACCATCTCAGCTCAAAACAATATTCAAGGAAAGTACTTGTGCTCTCATCTTTTTCCGTCAATATTGAAGTTTTTTAGGTGAACAAAAATAGGGCCTTCTGCCAAGCATAATGGTTGGAACACTCACCCAGCTCAATGACCCTGACCCTGAAGGAACAGACAGCCTCATTGCCAGCCGCGTCCCTGAACGTGTAGGTCACCGTGATGTCAGAGCCGGTGGTGAAGAAGGAGCCCGAGGCTCGGTTCTGGGTCGTCGCCACGTTGCCAGAGTTGTCCGAGACCACGGGCTCGTTCCAGTTGATGATCGTGCCGCTGGAGAGGAAGGGCACGAATTCGGTGATGTCGGCCGGGCAGGAGGTCACCACGGGTGGGGTCACGTCACCTGCAGATCACCAAAGTCAACAAGCTATTGCTGATGAAAAAAGCATGTCAGATCTTTTTAAAAGTTGCATAAAAGGAGACATAATATGAATCCCCAAATGAACGGCGTCAGACTTATACTCTCAGACTTCCAAATTAGCTTGGTACACCTAGCTATAGCATGTTCGGGAAGCCTGTCATGACAGATCATGTGTTGAATTAACTTAACTCTGCACAGCCTGTTGAAGCAAAAATTGTTCCGTGGTAGGCCATCAGAGTGTTACAAATTTATAAGACTGTGGCCAGAACTATGATTCAAATGTACACCGGCATCCAGCGTTGAAGTCGAGACCATCGCAAGACCAGACACACGACCAGACACAAGACCAGACAGAAGACCATGCACAAGACCAAACACAAGACCAGATACAAGTACCAGTGTGAACAATGACAAAGGAATGCTTTTGTTGCAGTTCAATTGAATAGCTTGTGGCTTGAATTCAGACTGGAGGTCTTATGCTGGTCTTGTTCTGGTCTTGTGAATGTCTGAAGCGGTCTCGCCTACAATACTGCAACAGTCTCAAGGGACGATATCTGTAGTGTTTGGCCATATTGGAGAGCTTGCCTACAAATCTTGAGTTCCTGAGTGTTGGGTTTTAGCCCAAAATGATATCGACAGCACATAGTCCATTAACAGAAACTTTTTAAACAAAAAACTCTACGATTGCAGCTACTAACTTCCCCAATTTCAATATATTGCACACACGCTCAACCAAAAGCAATTTCTGTTGATATTTTTAATCAAGCTTGGGATAGAGGAACGAAGCATTGGTGTACCCAGCTCTGTCACGGTCACCGTGAATATACAGAAGGCTTGGTTGCCGGCTGCGTCGGTGAACGTGTAGGTGACCGTCGTCTGGGTGTTGGCGTTGAAGAAATCTCCAGAGTCGTGGGTCTGGGTCGTGGTGAAGGATCCCGAGTTGTCCGTTGCCACCGGCTCATTCCAGGTGATGGCGGTCCCTGGGCTCTGGAAGGGGACATTGACGGCCGTGCTGTCCGGACAACTCGTGACATCAGGAGGGGTTGTGTCTCCTGGAAGATCGCAGTTCAATCAAAGCATCGATTATGCAACAGGGTATTGATTATACGCCATGTAAAATGTTGTAATAATATTGTAGGAACAAACGAAACTTGATTAAAATGTAATTGAATGTGAAAAAGGGGTAAAAATGATTAAAGGGGACGCCAAAACACTCGAGAAAAAAAAAGGGAAAAAAACAAAATCGGTCATACCTTGCTCAATCACCCTGACGACAAATGAACAGACTGCTTCATTACTTGCTGCATCCCTGAACGTGTAGGTGACCGTAGATTCGCCAACCGGAAAGAAGGACCCTGAGGTGTGCGTCTGAATGGTGTCAAAAGCGCCCGAGTTGTCAACTACGGTTGGCTCGGTCCACGTTACCGTGGTACCGATGCTCAGGAAGGGAACGAACTGGGTGATGTCACTGGGGCAGGAGGTCACAACGGGTGGGACAGTATCTCCTGAAAGGGAAAAACGTTTTTCAGTTCTTAGGCATAAAGAAACGGCAGTTAAATCAATGTTAATGGATTACAATACCATATGTTGCTTGAACATTCAAAGGGTTCTCAAAAAAAAACCACCCATTTAACACCGATTTGTTAATCATTAAGTTGATTTTTACAAAAGGCTTTCAAACGTACCGAGGAATGTCAATAGATTATTTTAGATTCACCCAAAAGGCTTGTTTATTCCACTGGCATATTTAAAGAAAGCCCCACCAAGGTTACTCAACTCCAGAATCAAACTACTTAAAAACTTTGACACCGGCAATTTACCTTGCTCTATGACAGTCACAGTGAATATACAGAAGGCTTGGTTGCCAGCTGCATCTGTGAATGTGTAAGTGACTTGGGTTTGGGTGTTGGCATTGAAGAAGTCTCCAGAATTGTGGGTCTGGGTGGTCGTGAAGTCACCGGAGTTGTCAGTGACTGTGGGCTCATTCCAAGAAACAGTTGTTCCGGTGCTTTGGAAAGGCACAGTGATGGACATACTCTCGGGACAGACAACTGTCATTGGTGATTCGGTGTCGCCTAATGTAAGAACAGATGACAGCAATATATTAATGCCGCACTTTATTATTAATTACTGGCGGAGTATTCTTCCACCTCTTTCAAATCCTTGAAATGGTGCGTGCAAAAACGTCAACGTTACCTAATTCAATGATTCTCACGACAAACGAGCACGAGGCTTCGTTGCCGGCAGCATCCCGGAAAGTGTAAGTGACCGTGTTGTCACCGATGGCGAAGAACGATCCTGAGGTGCGGCTTTGGATGGTGTCGAAACTCCCAGAGTTGTCCGACACGACTGGCTCGGTCCAAGTGACCGTGGTGCCAGTGCTCTGGAAAGGCACAAACATGGTGATGTCGGCCGGACAGGAGGTGATCACAGGGTCGACAGTATCACCTGATTGTGACGAATGGAGAAAAAAAGGCAATAAATCGACTAGATCAATCGGTCAAATATCAAAAAACCTGGGAAGGGTTGGACAAACATGTCGAATGTCATTAAATCACGGTTTGTCCTACAGTGAGATTTTACAAATTGCAATCAACCATCATTGTTTTAATTTACAGTCCTAGCGATCTTACCCGCAAAGCTGGTATTTTCTACCATTTTAAACTCAAATTTGCAGATATTACAATATTTCTATAAGTTAAACAATGCACAGTTTTAGACTTCCTGTAACTTGCATCTTAGACGTATGCACCTAATCCATTGGCTTTCATAATGCCACACCTATGATAAATAGCTGTTTTTCAGGCAGTAAAATGCAGGGAAATCTGTATTCTGGAATGTGGTCAATTTTGAATAATAAATTTGTGCTTTGGTTATCACAACAGCGTCTTTATGACATAATACACGTTTAAGACCTACCCAACTCTGTCACAGTCACAGTGAAGATGCAGAAGGCTTGGTTGCCAGCTGCATCCGTGAATGTGTAGGTGACTGTTGTCTGGGTGTTGACATTGAAGAAGTCTCCAGAGTTATGCGTCTGGGTGGTGGTGAAGGTTCCAGAGTTGTCGTTGACAGTGGGCTCATTCCAGGACACGGTCGTTCCAGTGCTCTGGAAGGGAACGGTCAGGGCTATGTTTTCTGGACAAACGCTGACAACTGGTGCTTCGGTGTCGCCTGTCAACAAAAGGATTTTTTTTAAACAAACACTCGGTCCTGCCATTCACACCAACTATTCTTTCCCAGTAATTGACATCTTCTATATTCAGGCAATGTCAGCTCAGGAAAGGAGGAAAAAAGACGGACAAAGGAAATCAAACCTTACCCAACTCGATGACTCTGACAACGAACGAACAGACTGCTTCGTTGTTTGCCGCATCCCGGAATGTGTACATGACTGTAGTCTCCCCAACCGGAAAGAAGGATCCCGAGGTGCGCGTCTGAACGGTGTCAAAAGCGCCCGAGTTGTCAAGCACGGTTGGCTCGGTCCACGTTACACTTGTACCGGTGCTCAGGAAGGGAACGAACTGGGTGATGTCGTCGGGACAGGAGGTCACAACGGGTGCGACAGTATCCCCTATTAGGAGGATTTTAAGAATAAGCATTACTCATGTTTGTGGAATTATTCAACATTTCTTTGAAGGTCTTTTTTTGGTGTCCAAACCTGTAACGGCAACTGAAAACACAAATTTGGTCAACTTTTGCTCTTTTGGTTGGCAGTTTTGCCAGTGTGCACTTCAGCAAACACTCCCGGTGGAGTGACCTCTGGGGGTGGCGTTTGCAGGCATCAGCTTGGATGTGCTTAAAGTAGGTGGGCCTGTCATCGCCTTGGTGATATTTGTGCAACGGGGCATGGGAAATTCTCTCAAGGCGACTATCAAAGGGATTTGGAAGGATGTTGCAGGGCAGGAGTGAAGAACAGAAAATAACTGCCCGGCAAAACCCAGTTACTGGCCCAATGTTGCATGGTGTACTTTTCTCGTCACTCTGTCCAGTGCCTTTGCCTGGCTCTGAAAATGTCGAGCATAGCGGACAGCGACACAGATTCTCATCTGTAAGGTGCTATGCGCTTGTACATGGTGCCCTGTGGGGTACCGGAACAATGGAAGGTATCCCACAAGGCCAGTTTTGATCCTTGTGGGGTACTAAAGTGGTACCCCACAAGAATTTCGCGAAATAGATATTTCAAATTTACTCAAAAAGGAGGAATTTTCAAGTGCCGTTCATCGTCGCAAATTGAAGTGTTTTATGTAAGGGACAAACGGTCGAAATTTCAACCCAGGAAACTGAACTTGGTTGAAATGGCAGTGATTTGACATTTTTTCCGTGTTGTGTGGGAGTTTTGTACACAAGAACAAAAGAAATACCCCACAAGTATACATACGTAAGGGCGTGATAATATGTGTGACGAGGATTTTGCAAAAAACTATTGGGTGAACTTGACAAAAACTCATGGGCCCCGGTTGAGTTGATGTGTCAAAATTGCCAATGGATAGGGCAAATCCACAACACACGTACGGACCTTGTTCAATGACAGTCACGGTGAATGTGCAGAAGGCTTGGTTGCCGGCTGCATCCGTGAAAGTGTAAGTGACTGTCATCTGAGTGTTGGCATCGAAGAAGTCCCCGGAATTGTGGGTCTGGGTGGTCGTGAAGGTCCCAGAGTTGTCAGTGACTGTGGGCTCGAGCCAAGTCACGGTCGTTCCCGTGCTCTGGAAGGGGACGGTGATGGCCTCGTTTGGCGGACACACTGCCACAACAGGTGCCTCAGTGTCACCTACGAGAGAGAAAAATTCTCAGTCCAACAAGAAGCATTTCCTATTTGTAAATGATATTTTGGAAACATAAAAACCAAAGTAGTAGTGAATAACAGCAATCCTTGTGCCAATACAAGGGGGACCTTTCAAATTTTGTGATTTACAGGTCTTCACTGATTAAAAAACAATCGGTCACCATGTATGTTGCTGTGGCTGATAAGGGTGACCTACAGAAAACATGATACAAGACGGACTTTACATCCTGCTCATTTGGTCTGAAACAAACTACGATTGCTGTGGACTAAAACTGTCGACTTTGAAGCACTTTCCCCTAAAAACCTGTCTGGAAAGGCAAAGCCAAAAACTGCACTTTCTGAGACAAAAAGACTAAGATCTCTATTCACCCAGTTGAATAATTCTCACGACAAATGAGCAAGAGTTTTCATTGCCGGCAGCATCCCGGAATGTGTAAGTGACTGTGTTGTCTCCAACGGCAAAGAATGATCCCGACGTGCGGGATTGGATGGTGTCGAAGCTCCCAGAGTTGTCTGATACGACCGGCTCGGTCCAAGTGACCGTGGTGCCGGAGGTGAGGAACGGAACAAACATGGTGATGTCAGACGGACAAGAGGTGATCACGGGGGGAACAGCATCACCTGGCAGGTAATAATAAAATCATTTAAAGGTCAGAAAAAAAGTCTTTGCCGCAAACAACAAATCTGGGGCTAACAATGCACGATGAAATAAGGATTGCTTGATTGTTTAATCAGTGCTCTACCAAAAAAAAAAAAACACCACATGTCTCATTTCGCAGTCTCCCCTACGCAACCTAACGCCAGTGGTTTGTGACTTACCAAGAGATGTCACAGTCACAGTGAATATACAGAAGGCTTGGTTGCCGGCTGCGTCGGTGAATGTGTAGGTGACTGTAGTCTGAGTGTTGGCATTGAAGAAGTCTCCAGAGTTGTGGGTCTGGGTGGTGGTGAAGGTTCCAGAGTTGTCATTGACAGTGGGCTCATTCCAAGATACTGTCGTGCCAGTGCTCAGGAAGGGAACTGATAGGGCGATGTTGTCTGGACAATCACTGACGACTGGTGCCTCGGTGTCCCCTGTTAACAAAAGTGCGGATTTCATACATCATCATGTCCTGCCATCAGCGAGTTTGCTGCCCTCTATTGCATAAAAAAATTCATTATTTATTGAGCTCAGAGGATTCATGCGCCTCGTGTGACAAAATGAAATAGCTTTCGTAATATCAGACAAGACTTCTTCAAGAGAAGCACTAAAAATGCAGAACATCTGCGTCTGTTTCAGGACTGCCAAGAGAGAATTGGATAAAACATACCTAGCTCGATGACTCTGACAACAAACGAACAGACTGCTTCGTTGTTTGCCGCATCCCGGAACGTGTACGCAACTGTAGTCTCTCCAACCGAAAAGAAGGATCCCGAGGTGCGCGTCTGAACGGTGTCAAAAGCGCCCGAGTTGTCAAGCACGGTTGGCTCGGTCCACGTTACAGTGGTACCGGTGCTCAGGAAGGGAACAAACTGGGTGATGTCATCGGGACAGGAGGTCACAACAGGCGGGACAGTATCACCTTGGGGAATGAAAGCAGGGTAATATTTACACCTCACACATTCATATACATAAATCCTCCTAATTCAATCATTTAGTTTGGAAAGAGGGGTTGTAACTTGATCATTTACTGCAAAAGGGCTCAATTGTGAATTTAGTGGTGCCTGCAACCAAAGGAGGATACACCCCCATAATCTGCAGCTATCCCAAAACAACTAGTGCAGTCAAATATAGTTATGGAACTAATGTCCCTATGAAGTTACTCTTTCTGGCCAGAGCACAATAGAAGAAGGCCATCTCCAGCAAAGCACCTGAAGACGCATTTTAGGAAATCGACCTTAGTAGTTGTGGGCAAGCGTTGGCACGACGCACATGCACAAATGGTCACTATACTTCAACGGCTCTGAGGGGTTGACATCGCAGAGCTGTAGTTGGCCAAATGGAAACCTGTCCCAAATGCTGAATTCAGGAGCAATTGAAAGCGTGACTCCGCAAAGGTTTCATTTGATATCCTAAAGGTTTGTGTTTCTCGCAATACACAACATTCACTGAGCTCAAAACAACATCAGGTAAGCTGTTTGCACCCTTCTGTAGATTTTGAGCGCTTCCGTTGCCTCAAGCAGACATAATGCACAAATGATGTACTTGGACTTTAAATGAAAGTGGCTGTAACACACTTCACCTTGTTTTGGTTACAGTGATTTTACAAATTTGATGTTTATTGTTGTTTGAAACCCAAAGTGTTCAAGACCTACCCAGCCCTGTCACAGTCACAGTGAAAGTGCAGAGGGCTTGGTTGCCGGCTGCGTCCGTGAATGTGTAGGTCACCGGTGTCTGGGTGTTGGCATTGAAGAAATCTCCGGAGTTATGTGTCTGGGTGGTTGTGAAGGTTCCAGAGTTGTCGGAGACCGTGGGCTCATTCCAGGACACGGTGGTTCCGGTGCTCTGGAAGGGGACGGTCAAAGCTATGTTTTCTGGACAAACGCTGACAACTGGTGCTTCGGTGTCGCCTGAAAGACACAATGTATGAAAGACAATGTTTACCAATCTTAAGTCAAACCCATCTCTCTTGCCAACTACTGGAAAACTGTGAGGGTAAACCATTTCCCCAATCAATATTGTAAGACAATTTCCAAACAGACACAAGAATCCATGAATGGAAACAGTTCAATTCTCATTCTGATGAAGCCCATCTTCATTTCTGAAAAAATGTAAACTATAGTCTACGAACTTTACAATTTAGTGATCTAAACAACAAAATGCTATTGCCTTGACACGGTAGCACAGTTCAGATTAAACGGAGCAAACATTACAATCTTTGCACAATTTCAACTTGTCCTGCACATACTTAGTGTTACGATAACTGATCGGAACAATATGTGACTGCTCTTTGAAAACAGAAATCTTTTTTCCCTCTTGAGACGGATTGAAGGACACTATGTGCTCATCTCTACTCACCTAGCTGAATGACTCTCACGACAAAAGAGCACGAGGCTTCGTTGCCGGCAGCATCCCGGAATGTGTAAGTGACCGTGTTGTCTCCGACGGCAAAGAACGATCCCGACGTGCGGGATTGGATGGTGTCGAAGCTCCCAGAGTTGTCCGACACGACCGGCTCGGTCCAAGTGACAGTGGTGCCGGAGGTGAGGAACGGAACAAACATGGTGATGTCGGATGGACAGGAGGTGATCACAGGGTCGACAGTATCACCTGGGAAGACAGAAAAAGGAATGTTAGAAGATTCAACAATTGAAATTTTACAAAGGTTTGTTCCATTTTGAAATATACCCCAATCAGTCACAGATCTTTGCTCGAATTCGTAGTTATCGTATTCATATCATAACCCAGTATGCTAACCCTCAAGCACTAAAAGTACTGAGATCTGTATTCTGGAATGTGGGCAAGTAATTGGAGTAATTTCTGTTTTCAAACAATTTCACGGCCATAGTCTACACTTTCGGCATTTGTGTATGATTAAAAATTTGAGACCTACCCAGCCCTGTCACAGTCACAGTGAAAGTGCAGAAGGCTTGGTTGTTGGCTGCGTCCGTGAAGGTGTAGGTCACCGGTGTCTGGGTGTTGACGTTGAAGAAGTCTCCAGAGTTATGTGTCTGGGTGGTGGTGAAGGTTCCAGAGTTGTCGTTGACAGTGGGCTCGTTCCACGACACGGTCGTTCCAGTGCTCTGGAAAGGCACGGTCAAGGCTATGTTTTCTGGACAAACGCTGACAACTGGTGCTTCGGTGTCGCCTGTTGACAAAAGCAGGCTATTCAGGAAAGTCTCAACTCTAAACAAACTGTTCTGTCCAAATCAGTGATCTTTTCTCCAATTGGGCTGGACAAAATCAGCTCAAGAAATCTAGGGGAAAAAAGTAAAGAGAAATTAACCTTACCCAACTCGATGACTCTGACGACAAACGAACAGATTGCTTCGTTGTTTGAGGCATCCCGGAATGTGTAAGTGACCGTAGTTTCGCCAACTGGAAAGAAGGATCCTGAGGTGCGCGTCTGAACGGTGTCAAAAGCGCCCGAGTTGTCGAGCACGGTTGGCTCGGTCCACGTTACACTTGTACCAGTGCTCAGGAAGGGAACGAACTGGGTGATGTCACTGGGACAGGAGGTCACAACGGGTGGGGCAGTATCACCTTGGGGAAAGATGCAGAAATAAGTGTTTCATACCTCATACATACACATGATTAGAATCCCATTTTCTTTCATTTATTTAAGCCACAGTGTCCGTAACTTTACTCAGCACGAGGCAGAATCGTGATGAATTTTAGTTAGGAAATTTATCAAGGTCACAAAAAAATGATGAAACAAAAAAAAAAACCAAAAAAATGACAAAGTTTTCCTAGCTCTATCCCAGGACCATTGTCATTATGACATTTGAATATTGGTGTATGTGTCAAAGAAATATTTGTTCATACATAAATTTTATGATTCAGCAATATATTTTAACTCAAGTTTAAGACTTTGTGTGTATATGAATTCCTTGAAATGGGTGGCTAGATCTTGAGGTAACTATGGACTTATTTTGCAGAATTTAGTGGGGCAGGAGTTGAGTACAGGAAATAATACAAACACAGCAAACATGGGGAGAAAAAAACACACATAGCAACCTTGTTCAATGACAGTCACGGTGAACGTGCAGAAGGCTTGGTTGCCGGCTGCGTCCGTGAAAGTGTAGGTGACTGTCGTCTGAGTGTTGGCATTGAAGAAGTCTCCAGAGTTATGTGTCTGGGTGGTGGTGAAGGTTCCAGAGTTGTCGTTGACTGTGGGCTCGGTCCAAGTCACGGTCGTTCCGGTGCTCTGGAAGGGGACGGTAATGGCTTCATTCGGGGGACAGTCTGCGACAACTGGAGCCTCGGTGTCACCTAAAAAAAAAATAAAGAATACAAAATTGCAAACGGCTTGATAAATGCCACTGGGCACGGAAATTGCACAAAAACACGCTAAGAACGACTAGCTGACCTGCCTATCGAAAAAAATCATGAGTTTCCTTAAAAACCTGCCCAATCTGAACTTCCATATTAGCGCGTTAAAGCAGAGTCAGAATGGCTCTTAAACACAACATTGAGATACCAATTAAAAAAGGGGATGATACACCCCCCAACCCCCCCCAAAAAGCATTCTATGAACATTTTCCCCAATATATATGGACTGCAGCTATACGGTATCTCGTTCAAAATAAGTCTGAAAAAGCCCCCTTGCTGAATAAGTCTCACATGATGTTCAAAAAGTTTCAAATGAAACCTTAATATAAGTATTATTGATTAGTGACACAGAGAAATATGGTATGTCTAGCCAAACAGTGCCATCCTCACCTAATTCAATGATTCTCACCACAAACGAGCATGAGACTTCATTGCCTGCGGCATCCCGGAATGTGTAAGTGACCGTGTTATCCCCAACGGTGAAGAATGATCCCGAGGTACGGGTTTGTACAGTGTCGAAACTCCCCGAGTCGTCCGACACGACTGGCTCGGTCCAAGTGACCGTGGTGCCAGTGCTCTGGAACGGCACAAACATGGTGATGTCGGACGGACAGGAGGTGATCACCGGTGGAGTATTATCCCCTACAAGAAACAAGAATTTTTGTACATCTTAATCCCTATCGTTCCTGGTTGCATCTAATTAATTTCCTTTAGAGGCAGGAACTTTGAGATCCTTGGCTATTGTTCTAGAAATGACTTTCCTGTTAATACTTTTCCCCAACTTTACTCACTTAGATGCATGATTCAGACGGTGATAGAACAAATGACATCCTAAAATCCTAAGGGAGTAAGACCTACCCAGCCCTGTCACAGTCACAGTGAAGGTGCAGAAGGCTTGGTTGCCGGCTGCGTCCGTGAACGTGTAGGTGACTGTTGTCTGGGTGTTGACGTTGAAGAAGTCTCCAGAGTTATGCGTCTGGGTGGTGGTGAAGGTTCCAGAGTTGTCAGAGACCGTGGGCTCATTCCAGGACACGGTGGTTCCGGTGCTTTGGAAGGGGACGGTCAGGGCTATGTTTTCTGGACAAATGCTGACAACTGGTGGCACTGTGTCGCCTGTTCGATCAAAATTTTAGAGTTCGGTTGAGCTGGAGAGTGTTTGTATATTGGCAGGTCGGAGTGGAAAAGATGTCAGTCAAGAACTTCATGTTATCCCTCATGTTGTTCTGGAACAAGCTATGGCCAACAATATGATGCCATGGATTGGTCTGGCCCCTTTGTGCCTCTCTTAACCCGTATAAGAGAGTGTGTAAGTGGTATCTATCTCTTACGAGACTCTGCAAGAACGTGCCCCGAGTCAGCAAGATGGCAGCAGTGTGTTAGTCTGGCGCATTCCAGAATGATTACGCAAGTGTAATGCAGAAAACCAAGGGTGCTACACACTGTCAAATGTAATTTGTAAATGGCTTGTTAGAAATTCCTGGAGATATATAGGCATGCAATTTGGACTTTGGCCAAAAAAGAGGAAATTCCAATCTTCGCAAGACTTTGCAGGTGTTTTTCAATTTTTCAATAACACGAGTGTGAAGTGATAAACGTGAAAATCAGTTTTATTCCTGCCATTTCTGTTTGTGACATATGATAGACGTGTAGGCCTACACTGCATGCACCTATGATCCAAGTTCTACTCACACTGTATTGAACACTTTGATATGTCATCGGAACATAAGGTCGTTCAGTTCTTAACAAATCTGGGCAGACTGGGCTTTCATCTCAGATGGGGGAAAGAATCCTACCCATAATGCCTTCGACTGGAAGACGGAGGACAAAAAACTTCTTTTTGTACTCACTCTGCTGAAAGATGCGCACGTTGAACTGGCACTGTGCCTCGTTGCCCTCGGCATCCCGGAACGTGTACGTGACCGTCTGGCTGCTGCCCGTCGCAAAGAAGGACCCCGATGTGTGAGTCTGGGTCGTTGTCACTGACCCAGAATTGTCGGTCGCCGTGGGCTCCGTCCAAGTCACTGTGGTGCCGGTGCTCTGGAAGGGCACGAACCTGGTGATGTCATCGGGGCAGAAGGTCACCACGGGCGGCGTGGTGTCACCTTGGGTGAGAGCCAATGATCAACTGGTGTCACTATTGAGGGTGAATCCATATCCATTTTCTTGGGGGGGGACGAACTTATTTGGGGAAGGGGCAAAATTAGGGCTTAGCTATGGTCACATCGAAACATGTGCAGCGTCCATATTACTTGGCTACCGCTTGCAGGTATGCACAAAATGGCTGCAGATGCTAGCCAGTGATTCCTGTCAGCACACACATGTCCAGCTACAAACAGGTAATTTTGACACTTTTTTACCAAGGAATTTTTTACTTGTCTTTGTATTCCAAACTGACAAATCACAAATTGTACACACGCTTTTGTGATATGCGATATTGGTCCGCACATAAAAATACAGAGTTTCTTCCTAGGAGTCCAGGCGATTAATTTTATGACGTGAGTAGCAAGTTTTCATGACAAAGAGTTTATCCATTCAAATAAGGAAATGGGGCATTAATTAAATCACACCCTTTTGGGGCGCCACTCACCAAGCGGAATGACGGTCACGTCAAAGGTGCAATCGGATGACAGGCCGGCACTGTCTGTCCACCTGTAAAGTACAGTGGTGGTCTGACCAACGGCAAAAGGACTACCGGACACAGGTTCCCGTATGACCAGGGTCGGTGTTCCCAAGTTGTCTGTGGCTGTTGGCTCATTCCAGGTGACTGGAATTGTCGTCGACCCAAATGGAGCTGTTCTGGTGAAGGACTGGGGGCAGTTGGTAATGGTCGGAGGTATCGTGTCAACTGAGAAAAGAAATTATTGAAAATAATTATTTATATATCAGATCTTCAATGTTTTCCTGGGTAAAATTTGACTAGGGCCACAACAAATGTTGTCCATCAAAAGCAGGCAAAAAGGTGTCCATTTTCCTTTTTTCTTTCTAAATTTTTATCATTTCTTGTACTGTTACTTGTTTCCGTTTTCTGTTACTTTTTAAAATATTGCCCCCCTACAAAATATGCCATGTTTAAATGGCAACCCGTATAAACAACCAAAACTCAAACACTTAATTCAACTAACCTTCAACTCTCAATTTCAACTAACCATAATATGTTTTTGCATAGTCATTACCCTTCCATGCTTTACTGTTAAAAAATTGATAAATCACAGAATAGTACATTTGTTTATGTCTTAGGACGAGTAGGACCTTAAGTCCACTCTCAAATAAACACTCAATTTCAACTAACCCTAATATGTTTAGCATAGTCATTACCCTTCCATGCTTCACTGCCCAAAATTGATACATGCATATCAAAGGATGGTACCAGTCACGTGATACAAAGTGACCGTTCGCATGCAACTCTTTTCCTGCACATCCTGAATCCGTAACGGAAAAATAACCTTGAAACACAGTTTGCGTGAACGTGCCGACTTACCAAACTGGACTGTCACGTCAAAGCTGCACTGGTCACTGTTTCCAGCTGTGTCCGTGAAGGTGTAGGTGACCGTTGTGGTGCCCACCGGGAAAGTGGCACCGGGATTGTGGGTTGATGAGGTGGTGACCTGCGACACGTCCGTTGCAGTCGGGGCTGTCCAGAAAGCCTGACCGCCCGCCGTGGAGGTGGTCGTCACAGTAAAGGAGGCGGGACAATTGGAGATGACCGGGGGTACGTTATCAACTACAATTCAAAAAAAGGCATAAAATTGCAGTTTGGAGCATGAAATTGATTAAAACTATCAAGCTGATTTTGGCACATTCATGGGATCAAAGATACTCTTTCTTTGGTCAAGCAAAACACAGGCCTACCAAACTGGACGGTCACATCAAAGGAGCACTGGTTGGAGTTCCCAAATGTGTCGGTGAAGGTGTACGTGACCGTAGTCGTCCCAATGGGGAATACGTCGCCTGGGTTGTGAGTGGACAACGTGGTGATCTGTGATATGTCAGTTGCAGTTGGCGGTGTCCAGAAGACCTGACCTCCCACTGTGTTGGTGCTCGATACAATCAAGGAGTTCGGGCAGTTCTCAATGACAGGGGCCATATCATCCACTGAAAAATATTTACAAGATAAGGTTTACAATACTCTCACAAGATAAATATTAGGATCCAAAGGGACGAACAAAAAGAGTAATAAATGATCCCCGACAAGTATTGAAAGGCAGTTTCTTTTAAAAGTGTGTACAACCCCTCCAATTGTCGTCTTATCTCTCAAAATGATTACAACAGGTCTTGTCCCTTCCTACATTTGAGGGATACTCAATAGATAGTAGAAGATAACAAGGCTGTGTGACTACATTTCCCCCTAAAAAATCAAACTGTGAAGCATTTCTGAATACGTTTGACAAAAATAAAGGCAAGAAAACACTTGGAAGAAAATTCCAGGCTTTCGTGGGCAAACCTCCTCAAATCCTATCAGCCCTGCTGCGTAAACTGTGGGAAAATGCCACTTGCTATGCGAAGCCAATTACATAACACTCCCCACACTACCCTTTAGAAATCTGTTTACAATGTACACGGACAGCTATCCCTTTTGTAAACTGCCTCGCTCACTGAACAGTGGGAACAACTATGAAAACCCGCTTGTGCAAGTATTCACAAGATTGTCCAGGGATCATAAGCTTGGATTTGCAACACTCGACCAGACCAGAAACTGATTCAGACATGCCCAAGGCTACACATTTCCAGCATTATCGAATGGCCAATGAGCAATCTTGTCTTTAAAACAAATGTAATGAGGAGCAAAGAACCAAATCCTGCCACACCACTGGATGACATCTTTTGATCTTGTAGAAACCAATATTCAGAAATTAGCGGAAATGTCACAAAAAATTTTTTGAAAAAGTTATGTTTTATTGTAAATTCTGGGGGAAAAGCACACTAAATAGCAGGGATCGGACTACAGTTGAATTTTTCAAATAGTATTCAACTTTTTTTAAGGGGGTGGGGGCTGCCGATTTCTCAAGTACTTTCATGTCATATTAATAGTCCTGACTCGTCCTATTTAGATCTGATTTTGCACTCGACCAAAGGGAGCTGTGTACAAGCTTATCCCTTCCAACTGTCTCAAAATGCTCTGACATCACTAGCTCTGCTCGTTTGGAATTGTAATCCCTAAAATCATTTCCACTTCCAGCTGTGGAAAGTATCCGAGCAACTTGTACACGGCTCATTTCAGAATCTGGCGTCCTCGTTAACATGTGGCAGGAGAGCACACTGCTGGAGAGGCAATGGGGATATAGTGGCAAGTCTAAAGTAGCAATATGTAACCCCCCGGCTGGATTCGAACCCCCCGACCCCATGACTGCAGTCACAAACCCTGTACTCCCCCCTTCTCTTACTCACCCATTTGATATCGGATGGAGAAACCGCTGTACTCCAGGTTCTTGTCGGTGATGAAGTACATCCAGGCCGTGTCGGTGTTCTCCAAGGTGAAATCCGCTGGTCTGGCGAACCCTTCAAAGAAGCGGACGTCGGGACCGACCGTGTTCACGCCATTCAGGGCTGTGAAGTCCACCGTCAGGCCCTTGCCCACGTACAGCTCGTCCTTGTCCGTCTCGATCCCAAAGACGTCGTCAAAGGTGAAGGAGATCCCACTGGCGCCGGGGATGTAGAGAAGGTAGAGTGCCCGGTAGCGGTTCGGGTAGGGTGATGGATAATTCAAACTCTCAAACACCCCTGCTGTGCAGCTAGGCCCATAGCAGGTGAATATCTCTTGATTGTCTGAGACAGAGAAATTAACATAATATAAAAACAATGTAAACTATATGGCACTTGGGATAAAAGGAAGGACACTGGTTGAATTTCAATTCAAAACAGTTGTAAAAATTCCCGTTTGCTTGTTTAATTATTTGGTACAGAAACCTGCAATAATGCCAATCAAATTGTGTCTTTTTACACTATCACTGGAACAAGTAGAATTTAGTGACAAAAAATATGCAAGCACAAATTTCAAAGGACTGCACTCTGGACAGGTAAAGTTAAGCTATGTGAGATATAACAATAGTTCCTAGTCCCTGCCAACCACAATTTTGGTCTTATACCCAGACCTAACCTTGGCTTTTAAGTTTTTTTGCAACTGTCAACACGACTGCTTTCTTTTCTTAATTTCTTTTTCTAGAATAAAATATTCAGCCTGAAATGTGAGTTTTACAAATGTGTAAAATGAGACAAAAACTCTTACTGCTTCATATTACTGTTAGTAAGAGCTAGAAAAACTCTTCTAGCAAGATCTTGGGAAAGCTAACACATAAAAAAAAAAGGAAAAATAGGCCCTACAGATGTCGTTTCTCTTAATTCTTTACCTGGACCAATGGCACAGTTGTACGAGTCTCTGAATGGAAGGTTGCATTCACACACGTAGCCTTCAGCGCTGTTCCGAGTGTAGCAGTTTTCCCCATTGGTGCACATGTTCACAGCACATTCTAGATGTAAAAACAACATGTTACAAATGTGGACGGCCGAAGTACAAGTACGAATGTACATGTGCTTGGCTTAGGAACGATCTGTGGATCGCTCCGCACTATAGCCGTTCCTGCAAGCATGCAAAGTAACATTGGTCGGGAATCTTCGAGGCCTGCTTTTTGGAAAACGGTCTTCCACAGCTAACAGGTAATGGAGGAAAACAGATAACAAGATATTGCTGGAACAAGAGCTCGACAAATCCTGACTTCTGTACAGCGCGAAGTGAGTAAATGCGCTTCGCATCTGTATATCCACAAGCGCTCTCACTGGTCTCTTGACGTGGCCGCGGAGCACGTGGTAAAACATCATCGGGCGCTTCCATTTTGAACTTAAGATAACAGCGCCCTCTTGTGAAGAAAAAGGGCAAATTTTAGTTGGCACTCCGTTTCGCTCGTACGAGGGAAGCACTTCCGTAACCTGCCGTTCGAGTGCATTGATGCACAACGGTTGGAATAATTGTTGCGTCTCTGGTGAATAGTTTGAACTGTCAGATAAGCTTAAAAAGGAGGGATACATGTACAGGCATTACCGTGTTACATAAATTGAAACTACCTTACGTAACTGTTATTGATTTAACAATTGAATGACATGATATTCACACACACAAACGCTCCGCTTGCTTGGAACACAGTCACAATTTTTAAAACATGTTTCACACGAAATCAAGGACAGTATTATTGGCACAACTTCCGTAGCCTACAGACGGGGGGGGGGGCTTCAAGAAAAATTTGTGGCCCAAGAAAATAACGCAGTCTGTCAGATCGGAGAACACACAACTCGCAGATGTAAGAAAAAGTTCCATTTTGAGTTCTGCGTGTTTTTCTCAAAAGTCAGTTTTCAGAAAGCTGCATATCAGGTATATTCGTGGCATACTCGGTTGGTTGGTCACTCACTCACTACAGTGCCACTTACGTAAGACACACTAACACTGGATACTCATCATTCTCACTGAAGAGGGGGGAGGTCAAGTTATGTAACTTTATTCCGAAATAGGCAAGTTTATTCATCCGTCTATCTGTTGTGTGACTGATCTACGGGGACCAACTGTGAATACATCTCTAGCATTGAATCCGTCCTTCGTGTTTCCAGTGTGTTCCTTCCTTGAAAATCCACAGCCTCATGTGTATGAGGATGAACGCAGTGTATGCTGTGCATGGGTCCAAACATGGTCCAAACAAGAACGCAAGTTGTGCTGTGAAGTACAAGGCACGGAACCCAAAAAGTTGTTCAGAAAGTATTTACTAACCTTGGGCGAACGTTTCATACGCCAGAAGGACCATCGAAATCACCAAGATGACCAGTGTTCGCTCCATGGTGGAAGCGGCCACGCAAGAATGTTCCAAGATCCCCGGTGGAAGAAAGAAAGAAGGACCTTGCCTTCACAAGAAAATCACCTGTGTCCGGAGAAGAGATCCGGACTTCTCTACGCATCCAAAGAGCCCGGAATGAGCTGATGGCCGGCTCCTGTCCGAAGAGACGGCAGTGTCACATCACCGCTAAGACACGCCCAAGGACTCGGGGTCTTCATTGGTCCAGACCGCGTGAATGGGCGAGAGAGTCCCCTAGCTCAGTAGACCGTACGAAGACAGTTTTCTGAAGGGGGCTTTGGCCCTCCAGCAGGAAACTTCTCCTCCTTTGTCTCGTCGTTGTTATGCAAATCTTGCCACCGCGTACCCCCTCGTAGTCGCTGTTGTCCTTGTAAAGATGCTTACACTACAGCTTCGTGATTGTATTGAACTCTCTTGTTGGATCAGGGGTTTAAAAAAAAAATTAAAAGGAAGAAAGGAGAATGCAGAATGTATTGTTACAAGACTTGTGGAATGAATTATGCATCGTGGGTTTAAATCTATACTTATAGTTACACCCGAATGCTTCCCCAGACTCGTACACTGGTCTCAGATGGTTCATGTTAGTTTTTCCCATGTGGGGGTCGCTTAGATTTTGTGATGTTCGATTTACCCATTTTCGTCACTCATCAATTATAGCAATTCAGGTTTCACGAAACCTAAAGAATAATGTCATATTAAGACTTTTATTAAACCTGCATGTTAAAATAGTTCACTGTGTACTTCTTTGAACGTGTGGAACCACAGCTTGATTTGCAGAATGATTTGAAACTTTATGGGAATTCATACCGTCAAGCATCTGGTAGAGAGAAGAATGCAGGTCGCCGAGTATTACATTTACATAATAGAGCTTAATAGAGAGCACAGGTGGATAAAACAGTGGTGAAACGTCCTCTTTAACAGTGAAGCAGACTTCCCAACGGAAAGAGTCATGTTCACGCCAAATAAGCTGACAATTATTTTCCCTTGAGGTCATCAAAGCCTACTTTTCTTTTAAAAAGTACAAGGGAAATATACAGGATCAACAACAACAGAACATGCAAAGCAAAAAACGCAGTCATGTTGGCTATTCAGGTTTCCACTGTATGGCGCTTATTATTGTAATTGTAATGACAGGTAACGTTTCCGCACCAGTAGGTCCAATGTCTTTAATCAATGCAGCGAGATATAACCATTTCTGTATGTATTAGGTGCTATAATTGTAGTAAGGGAGATGAGTGCATGTCCTAAGCGAACCAAATCGTCCGCATACTGGCATTTCAGGGACATCTTTAGAACTTTCTTAGGCTTTGAACTATTATGCAGTAATCTTTCAGAGGTTGCAAAGGTCACAGACTTTCGGGTCGGCCGCCGACCTTACGCTATACACAGTGTGCAGGCGTTTAGTGGAAGCACCAAGCACGTAATCAGGGCTTTCGGTGGGTGGGGGGATTTACGTATAATGAACCTGAAATTGTTCTCGAAGTTTTCGAAATATAAAATGGTTCGTTTTATGCACAATGCGTAGATTGTAGAAAAGTACAATTGTGTCATTATATAAAACTTGTACTCCAATGAAGATTGATTCAGGTCGCACCACTATGCATCTTTGAACAATTGTCACCTGTGTTGAAATGTATGAAATACAGAGAGGTCATTTATTCTCTACGGTACAATTTGAGTTGAACTGGAAAGTGTGCGGCACATGATTCTAGTTGTGCAAATTTGTTGTTTATTTGGAGGACAGAAAATGGTCGCCACCACTCAGTTCCTTTTCTTCGACTTGTTTTGTTACCAATAGTGATGGTAGTACCGCTGGATTTTGCAAATAAGGAGAAATTGTTGGCTCATAACTTGCGGTGGGCGTTCACTCCTAGTTTCGATGGGGTGCTGTTGCCAGAAACGCGTTGCGACAGTCTAATGGAGCAATGTGGTCATGCGTCATTTGGTAAGATCAAGTTACCCAATTGCGGTGTCTATGGGTGGTGTCATAGTTAAGAGACCTGAATGGGGTAGTAAGAACGCTACCCCAATTATCAGAGTCACCTTCACACGCCGCACCCCAAGCACCAGCCAACAGACGTCCGACCCAGCGAAATACGGACAGGGTGGAAAAAGAGATACATGACTGACTCACACGAGGCTTTAGCAAACACTTCAGCCCGGATCAATAAATGTTTTCTGCCCTGGGCCTCAAGGTTTTCTCTGTTTGTCTTCTGAACAGAATCTACATTATCTATGCTGGGGAGCATTGGAAGATGTAACGGTTTGGCACCTTATGTGATCTTGTAGACCTTCATCATTCTGTTCCAAAACTTTGTCTGAACTAGCCTATGAAATCGAGCCACGTACGATAATAGTAAACGAGCAGCGGCATGTACACATACATGTACTTTCTAGCACCCGTACACATCATTTTGAACTTTCAAAGGGAGTCCTTCCGCCGGACCACGCCCTCGTGGTCACACCGCTTGTTAATCTTGGGGGGGGGGGCTAAGAGAGAATGTCAAGCATGGAAAATATTTCCCGATACATTTTGCCCTTTTGTGGTTTTGTTTGTTGTTAAGTGTAAATTTGTCAATTAATAGCTTGATTAGGTTGTAGGGGAATGAGAGAAAATCAGTCGATTCAAGTTCTTATAGTCTCTTGAAGCCGCCTCCCCGCCTGCAGTGTCTGCGCCTGAGTCCACTGTTGCCTAAATGAGTTTTGTTACTTTGTTGAATTAAAATGTAGTTGGAACAAAATAGGAATATCGAGTTAAAGTATTGGGCGGTGTTTCCTAAATTTTGAAGTTATATGCACGCTGTTGACGGATGAGAAAGCGTTAAACAGCGAAGTGATGATTTTATTCCTGGTTCATAGACAGAGTTGGATATAATTATGCCCAACTGTGGCCTGGCTGCAAGTCTAAGTTTTCCTCAATTGGGTTCAGCGGTTAAAATGTTCGTAGTTGGGCAGTTGTGTGTACAGCTGTCCAACGTCCCATTCGAGTAGATCGACCAAATCTTCTTCTCCTAAGTGTGTTTGTGGAATAACAGCCAAGGAGTACACCTGAAATGGTCAATGATGGCTGACGATTCTGACGAAGAAGATTTTGTTTCGTATGGAACTCCTCTGGAACCGATAGAGGATGGTAAGTAGGCCTATTAAAATCCAATTTGTAATCGAAATGTGGACACATTGGAAGTGCGTGGGAAATAATATTACCCAGTAATGATATTACCACACAGGCCTGTTCTTTTTTAGTCTTGTTACATTGGGAAAGAGTTTCATATACGGACGCCACTTTACACCCCGTGCACAAACCCTATGAGACTGGCCCGAAAAAGCATTTTCTACATGTAAATAAACAGCTTGTTTTTTTTCCTCCCAAGTTGAACTTTTCTGGACATTCTTGCGGTCGGAGGCTGTTCCATTCATTGCCATGATTGCAGTGCACTCACAAGTGGTGTAGCTAGGATTTTACTGGGGGAGGGGAGCACAGAGGGCCACCAGCATCCTGTGGGGGCACCAGCTTTCAGTGGCAATGGCACTCACGTCTGGGCGAAAGGGCAACTCTCCATTCACTTTGTACAGGGATTTTCATGTTTTCCTCTTTTTTTTTTGTTGCAACTTGATAAAAAATAACCATAACCTCTTCTGTACATTGTGGGAGATATTCATCAGGTTCATACGATGATTCATAAACCATAAATAGTGCAATTTTGGTCATATTTGATGTAAAGGAGAAGAGTTTACTCAGTAATTCAGATTTTTCCCACTGTAACATTATTTTTGCCCCTTTAAGTTTCGAGGGTGAAATGTAGAACAGCCACCAACTGACCAGTCAGAGAGAAGAATCAAGACTCAGTGATGTCATCCTGACCGCGAGAATGTGTTTGCTTTCTGAAGGCTAAGACTTAGAGGTCACTGTAGAGAATAATTTCTGGCATCCGTATATAGAATTCATCCCTTACATTTTAAGTTGTTGTACTGTGTTGACAGATTATTTAAATGGATCAAACTTAAATCTGAAACCGGAGAGTAGGCCTAGGTATGATGTACACGTATAAACCAAATCGAATAGGCCTAGTCTGGGCCTAAACGGGGGATTGTAAATTTGGGGACCCTATTAAGTATAATAGAAGGGAGGGCTGCATTTTAAATTTTGAATTCACCTTGGTCGATGTTGCGACATCATGCCCAATAACTGTAGGGTTGATGTTGTCAAAAAGGGGCAGGGGTTCGAGTTTTAAGAGAAATTATGAGGGGAAACTGCGAGTGTTTTAACACAGGACATATGGTGGGATTCAAATTGGCATGGCTGGTTTATCAGTAAAATTGTCACATGTTCTCACAATGCACAATTTGAAGTTTCTAAAAAAATAGGGTCAGCTCAATAAAGAGAGTGTTGCCATTGTTTTTTTTTGGGGGGGGGACTTACCAATTTTGCAAGATTAAAATGATAAAACTGGGGGGGGATCCCTAAGTGAACAATCTCCCCTAAACATTCCATTGATATCGACATGATTGGTCCCTGCTACAGTTCTTGTGCTAACACCCAGGTGCCTTATTTTGCTCAAATTTGCTCATTGAAAACATCTGCACGCTCTCTGCTTTATGGCGTACTGCTCAATGATAAGCCGCCAAAGACAGTTTGTTGCACGAGAGCAGCAAAAATCTAAACTTCTAGCAACTTTTTTTGTGCTAAAATAGCCGCAACCTGAAACTGTTTGCTCAAGATATCTAGGGTTTTCACTGTAGGGGGTGAGTGGGAGGAGCTGTTTGTTCATGTGAGTGGGAGGGGACGCACATCCCAGCATTTTCTTAAGAACATTCTGGGTTCACAGTTTGAACAGAAATGCACTGAACCATGTCTGAATCTATGCACTGAACCACAACGTTTCCCTGGTATTGCGTTTTTAAACTCTTAGCCGGGAGCACTTCGTAGCTACATGTATCCTGCTGGACATCATGGCCTTGCTCATGGACATACGCATTATAAAAACACACACAAACATCAAAGAAGCCTCAATAAAATTGCAAAACAAAATTTGAAAATAATGTCACCTGAAACACAAAGGTTGGTTGTTGTTCAAAGTGCATCGCACAGACCCTGTCAAGTCTCCAGACACAGGTCAGGCAGCCTAACACCTGGCATGGTGTTAGTTTAAACCATGTTTCGAGAGCAGGGCTGTTTGCACGCTGCTGTTCAATGTGTAATAAAGTGTAGCAAAAGTTTAAATTCCTCAGGACAAAAAGAGCTTAGTCGAAGGGGAAAAAAAAAAAAAAAGTTGCTTGACTCTCCCGTATGCACACTACCAAGAAGATAAAGGTTCCCTGGTATTGTGCTGGCATTCCATGGGGCTTTGTGCAAAGCTCGACATCATGCCAAGTTGCATCGTTTCTGAACATGCAAGACCAGTTGGTCCATCACCCGTGGCGTTGTGTACACGAGTACCTCAAGGACCACTGCATGTACACGTGTGTACTTAACTTCCAGGCTATCCCGCTCTTGCTTTTCATTACAATTGGTGATAGATTGATAGGAAGATAGATAATGGATTGATTGAAAAAAGGACGGGTGTCTGGTTCCACTGACTAGCTTAATTTCCAGGTGATTATGGTGGCCTTCAAGGCCGAGTAACAATTCAGATGAATTGTCCCCCGTGTTGTCACTTCAAAAGTTGCTCTACAACTCGCGCTGAATCTCTTCATGCAAAGCAATCACCATCTCGCATTGTCAGCTCGAAGAAAGACCAAGGCTAAGCAATGACTTTTCAGCACATTGCAACCCTCTCACATGATTATAAGAAAGGCTCCTTCATGTCTTCTTTACTTCTTTGCAAGGAAGGTCAAATCAAACAGTAACAAGGCAAAGGACACACAAAATCTGCAGTAAAAACACAATAGCTTGATACCAACCCTCCACAGATGCTCCATGTTTTGTGACAAGTTGTCACAGTAGTAATAATAAAAATAATTCATATGTATACCGCGCTTTTCATAACAGGAGTTATATGAAAGCGCTTTAGAGATCAAAATACCATTACTACAAGAAAAGCAACCCCAAAAAATTAACCAATGAAGAAAACACCTGCTTGAATTCCCTCCAAACAAATTAATCATTGTAGAATAACATATAAACAAACCAGACTAGAAAAGTCAAGATAATTTTTTCAAAAAAGTAAGCTTTAAGATGTCTTTTAAAGGTATCAAAACGGGGTTCAGAACACAAGGAGACCGGAAGAGAATTCCTTAAGAGTGGAGCACTACCAGGAAAGGCTTCATCACCATAAGCCTTTGTAGTCCTTGGAATAGGCAGAAGGTTCAGTTTTGCTGCACAGTTACAGCACTCTTCACTTATTTATTTCAGCCATTTGCAGAAGGGAAAATTTGTAACAGTATTTCTACAGTGTTCTTAACCACATCCCTGCCCCTTTTTTTTTGTTCTTCTCTTCTGGTTATTAATAAAATGCACGTCCTGCTCTAACGTCAGGTTCCCCTCCATTTTGGCCACCCCTCCCCCCCTAAATGCCAGATGTTGGGTCTGCCACTGCCTAGCATGGAGCGAAATACTTCAAAAGACAATTTTTGTGTAGATTATCCCTTTTCTGAGATCGTCGGACACATCTTCCCTTCGACCTGCCTGTATTTAATTAGATAAATGACTAGGTAATTTATTGTTTCATCTTACCAAGATAGACACATTTATCGAATTGTCCTCTTTGCAAACTCTTGATTAAAAATAAGACTGTAGAGATATTAAATTGTGCACTAGTACGGAACAACTAGTTGAGTAAAAATAAAACTGAAAGAAATAAATAGAAGAGATAAAAAGCTAACAGAAAGAGAAAGATGTGGTCAAGAGTGAATAGGATCTTTAAAAAATGGATCAGTTGATCATATCTTCTCCTGTCTCACTCGAGCGCCAGGTGCAACTAATGTGTCAGATTTTAGCACAGCCTTTTTTTTGTGTGTGTCTAAATGACAGAGGAGTCGAGGCGCAAACCAGTTTCGCTCGAGGATCAGATTGTCACCGACAAGCAAGGCCGCCGGCGCTTTCATGGAGCCTTCACCGGCGGTTTCTCGGCTGGTTACTTCAACTCGGTGGGTACAAAAGAAGGTGAGTCCCGGCGTTCTGTGGTGCCATGTGGCTCTCAAGGTCAAATCATCCAGGCGGTGCTTGCCTCTCACCTGTGGTGGATGAGATGAATCGTTCCCGCTCGGTGTCCTCCCCGACCAGACAGAATGTCCTCATAAAAGATGCGCGAACAACACACCATCATTCAGTAGCTGTGATCATATCAATGCCAGGGTGTGACTTTTGGGGGGATTTCAGGAATTTTTAACCCAAACTTGTCGAATTTCTTTGGAAATGTCATAGTTTGCTGCATTTGGCACTATTGGGGGAAAAAAGCAAGATTCACATCATCGTAGTCATTTTTAAAAGAACTCAAAGCCTTTTGATAGCCATGTTACTCATTGCTATTCAAATCGTTAAAAGTCACCGTATTTCATTATCGTTACAATCCCTCTGCATGAATGTTTCATTAATTTTTTTGTCATCCCCCAGCCTCATTTCTGCCAAGTTCCAAGTTCCCCTCCTTGTAGGGAAAAGCTTTCTGGTATTATGCAATGCCTACATCGGTGTTAACCTTCCTCTCAGTGAAATGATGAACGGGTCACTACATGCTTGTGTCTGCAACTTGTCATTTGGTTGCGTGTAATATATCGCTATTGTTCAGAACTCTGATTCTGTGTACAGGATTTTAACTCTAAAGTCCCTGACATGCTTGACTTCTATCGGGTGTTGATTTGATTTCTTTTTGACATTAGGATGGACTCCCTCTGCGTTTGTGTCGTCCAGAGGCCAGAGGGCAGGTGGTCCATCCAGGCAGAGGGCCGAAGATTTCATGGACGAAGAGGTTCGGAACAATTTTACTGATTTGATCACTGCACCAAATGACAGGACTCCTGAAGAGCTTGAGTGCGCTTAAATTCCCGGTCTACCAAATCAGCTTGGTGACTTGTTCAGTAAAAGTGATACCTCCACCCGCCGCCCATTTTTTTCCTGACCTGCAGATTTAATTTCCGCTCCTATACAAAAACCATTGGGGCTGATGCGCTTGATTGAAAGCACCCTGTCTGCCAAATCTCAGGCAAAGCTGGGGCTTTTGCCCGAGATCCCTCAAAAGGGGAGTCATTGTGGTCCCTCCAAAGCTCCTCTGTACACAATTGAGACATAGCAGTCTAACACATACAGAGAAGCACCTGAATAGTGGATGGTATAAGCACTTGTTAAAGGAGCATTGTTAGGGTCATTCGAGTCAGTGCCTCACAAGAGGAGCATACCCCTACTGAATGAGACTAGGGGGTTCCTGTGTAACACCCTGGTGGGGCCTTGGACCTTTCTGGGACATGGGCGGGGTAGGGGTTCAAACACAAGGTATCCAAGATCCATACGCAGCAAGGTATGAGAAGGAGAGAATCCCCCCTGCTTTGTGTTGGTCATTGTCTCGCAGGAATCTGGGGAATTCCTTTCAGACATCTTGGGGGGGATGTGTTAAGTAACAATAGTCTGGAATGTGTATAGGGATTGGACATGTTGGCGGGGGTACCCCTCGGTCTCATTTCTTGCTGGGTATAGTTTCAAGTTGACAATGAACGCGCGTAGTAACTGGTACTGCATGTGCTGTGCGGAGGAGAGTGAATCAAAGTGACCCAGGGACTGATTTGTCCGAGGTTACACTTTGGACAAAATTATGCACAAGTCACTTCCATTGAAGTGACAAGGCCAACCTTTGTCAATGGTTAATGACGCTCAATTCAGGCCAGATACGTAAAACGACCACGCAGCTATGGTCTTCCGTAGAAGGAACACACTCTAGCAAGCAGAATACGAGTGGAAAGAAAAAAATCTGCAAGTCGATAGCAAAGAAAATGGACGGCTTCTCAACCGTGTCTATGGTGGAACCAAGGGAAAAGTGGTTGAGGATCATCACAAGTATTGGTGCTCTGTATCTGGAAGGTTGTTTCTGGGGAGGAATCCAACCTTTGGTGTCTGAATGGAACTGGGCCATGAGCAACGTCACCTGGGATGGGGCGGAACCTATGACAGCTCGTGGGGAGGACACAGAAATACGGGCAAATTTCACCATCGCTGCCATTTTTTTCGTAACTGGACTTATGGAGGTCATTATATCACCCATCGCTGGAGCGGCTGCCGACAGGTTTGGGTTTGATGTGGTGATCGTGTTCAGCCTTTCATGTGGTGTTGTGCAGAGTGTCCTCTTCGGATGCTTCGAAACATCGCCTGTCGTTATTTTAATTTACCGCATGCTCCAAGGAGCATCGAACGCTTCCTCACAGGCCATCGCCCTGGCTCGAATAAGAGATATATATTCGTTTGGATCGAGAGAATGCACCACCTTCTTCGCCCTGGGCATGAGCAAAACGGCAACAGGTTATTTTTCGGCGCTTATTGTCGGAGAATTCTATCATTTTATGAAAAATCGAGTGTTCTTTTTGTTCACACCTTTCTGCTTGCTGTTCATTATCGGTGTATTGCTGACGTTCAGAACTGCAAATTTCCATTCGAAAGACGAAGACACTCAAGCAAAGCAGAGCGACTGCAAATCCCCTCCAGCAGTGAGATGGAGGGTCTTCTTAGATGTACAACTTATAATACTGGCTATATGTTGCTTCATTCCAACTCTTGCCTACGCTGCCTTTGAGCCGTCTGTAGCAGTTTGGATGAAATCAGCATACGGTGCCGGCCCCAAATCCGTAGGCCTCATTCTGGGACTTTGTGGGCTGGTGTCGCTAGTAGCCAGTATTGCAAGCGCCCAGATCTTACATATCTTGCAGGATCGGTCCTGGATCTTCTTCCTTGGTGCTCTCTTTATGACAGGACTTCCTTTGATACCGATGAACTTCTCACCAGATATCATATCTGCTGGCTTCACCATGGGGGCATTTTTTATCAGTTTGTGCGCAGCTCGTTTTGCCCCGCTTGTTATGTGCTCTACCATCGCTGACAGTCGCTATCCCCACGCCTACGGGCAGGTATTCTCGGTTATAAATGCCAGCTGGGGCACTTCATTCCTAGTCGGACCTCTCCTGGCCCCCTTCATGTTTGGTTCAACCTGTGGTGTTTGCGTCATTGGAGCAGCGTGTATGGTGAGTGCTCCACTTTCCATTTTCCTGCGCCATCTCGATTCCAAGCAAGGACCTAATATGCTGGATTGCTGGCCAGGTTATCAACGCGAATATAAAATGATGGCCACAAACAATGATTTGCAGTTTACTTATGACATCTCGGAAGAAACTTTGCAACCCGCGGCTAAGTAAACCTTTTCGGTCAACTTAAACATGCATGACGATAATACCAGGGTTTTCCAAGACATCAGAAAAGTGCACAGAATCCTACAAAGCCTTTTAAATACTTTTTTGGCGAGGGAGGGCGCGGCCGAGGGGCTCTGAGAACAGTATCACGTGGTTTCCACCCCTCCCTCGCCAGTCATCACATTCCCACTCGCCAATACAGTGGTCCACGGCTAGTCACCCTCTGGGGGCCCGCAAATATTCTCCTGGTGCATCACCCGTTTATATTCTACTCAATGAAAGAAATATTTCTTAAAGGTTATTATGATTTATAACATTATGTAGTAGTGCCTTGGAATCATAAATACAATTACCGCTTTTTGTTACGGTTATTTCATACTTTGATATTAATACGGCCGTTTCACAATAGTGCGCCACCAAGAGTTTGCAACGCGTTGGCCAATCACAATGCGCGAATTTGTCGACCCAATGCGCGTTCGGAAAGGGTCGACTAATTTCGCGCGTTGTGATTGGCCAACGCGTTGCAAACTCTTGGTGGCGCACTATTGTGAATCGCCGGTATTGAGGAAACTGGCAATTTAACGGTGAAAATACTGCAGCTGAAAAAGACCGAAAAGACATTGGAAAACACAGTGTTTCAACTGTTATATGAAGTCCACCTAATGTGCAGTGTGCTTGTCGGTCAATGAGAAACAGCAGATTTCTTTGCTCTGTGATGATACCGAGTTCTTTGTAAGTTGAAAATCTACGTTTAGCCTACACACGCTCCACAGTTTACATACCCTGTTGATGAGTTACGTTTGCCTAGCAAGGACGTATATACACTCGCTTGCAGTAATTTGAGTCAGTTTCAAAGGGACATTGTATAATAAGGTTTTATGACTTCATAGTCACGAAGCAAAACTTTACTTACATGATATAACAATGACTTGTCATCTCCTTTGTAGCAGTAAAATGGAGAAATTTCAAATTTGGATCGTTAGCTGATGAATTCTTCCATAGGAGCCAAAGCGTGATGTTATTCAAGGCAGTAACATTATACGAGTCGCACTTTTCTAAATTTTCTTGAAGTAGCTTCTACTTTATACCTGGTTTACATGTTAAACACCTTGCTTGGACAATAGCAGTGGCCACTTTTCCTTCAAAACATTGTTTATTGGGGATTTGAAGGATTGATTTTTCAGGCACTGCTCTCGTGCTCCTTTGACAAGGGGTGCCTTGTGTAACAACCGAAGCCATGTATTCCGATCGCTCTTTGCACGATGCCGCTGTAGGGGTGCACTGAACCAATTTGATAGCAAATTTGATTTTATATTTTTTAACACGTTAACACGTTAAAGAACAACATTTAGGTAAAGGGTGAAGCATAGATTTACCTTTGTACCCTAACCTATTGACAGACATACATATTATAACATAGGACAATACAAGACATGAACATGTTTTTGGTATTGATACACATACGGACAAACACTGACAGGCAGGAGATAATACAATGCATCAAAATACAATTCTAGTCGGTACAGGTGATGTATTCAGAAATTAATACATTTTTCAACTTTAGAGAAAATGTTAATAAAGTGGGTGCTGGTTATATAATTTCATTTAGGCTATTACAGTATTGGACACCGCATTGCACAAGACTACTTTTATGTAATGAAGTTCTATTGGCATCAACATATAATTTCTTTTGAGAGGTACTTCTGGTATGATATGAGTGAACGTTTGAAATAAGTTTAAAGTATGATTTAAAATACATTGGCAGCTTATCATTCATACATTTATACATAAATTTACCTAACTGATATTTATAAAGGTCAAATACCTTTAGCACTTTATGTTTAGAGAACAGTGGGGTCGTGTGGTCGTAATATCCAGCATGAGAAATTATTCGGACAGCACGTTTTTGTAAGATGACAATTGGTCACAATTAGATAAAGGACCTCCCCATGTCAAAACACAATAATTCAAATACGGTAGCACAAAAGAATTATACAGAGTTAACAGAATATTAAATGGGAGAAAAGACTTTAAACGGTTCATTATACTAATACATTTTGATACTTTACTCGAGACTACACTTATATGACTCTTCCAAGATAAGTGCTCATTTATATTTATACCCAAATTGTTGTACTTGTTACCTTATTCAGCGTTTTGCCATTTGATACCAAACGGAAAGTTTGAATGTAGTTTTGTTGGTTAGTGCAAAATATCATATAATTAGATTTGACTAGATTGATACTCAGTTTGTTGGCTAATAGCCAAACGTTTATTTTTGTGAGTTAAAGGACTTAAAATCTGAACAGCTGTATTAACATTATCACGACTATAAATAAGGCTTGTGTCATCTGCAAATAGACAAAATAAGACTTTACTAGAGGTATTACATATATCATTAAAATATATGATGAATAGCAGAGGGCCTATACACAGAGCCCTGTGGTACACCACAGGAAATTGTTAGATTGCTGGAGTTAACGGAATTTGAATGATACAAATTGTTTTCAATTGGATAAGTAGCTTTGGAACCATTCCAGTGCAATTCCACGTACACCATCGTGCTCCAATTTACGAATCAAGATGTTGTGATTAACTGTATCAAACGCCTTGGAAAGGTCCAAAAAAACACCCCAATAGGAAATTTCTTTTTTTCTGTTGCAGTTACTAATTTGTTAAAAACGTAGGCAGTTGCCATATTTGTTAAGCGATTTTCTCTAATTCTGAACTGTGAATCAGAGAATGTTATATTTATTGACAAAAGATATAAGTCGCTTATAAACTAACTTCTCACCTACTTTGGAAAATGTAGATAGAACTGTTATAGGTCTAAAATTTCCAGCATCATGCTTACAGCCATTTTATGAATGGGTATGACCTTACCTATTTTTAATCCTTCTGGAAATGTTCCTGTAATAAAAAAAAATTGTTGAAAATAACAGTCAGTGGTTCGGCTAAAGAGAACATAGCCTGCTTTATCATATATATGTTTAGACCATCACAACCAGGGGCCTTATTTGCAGAAATTTCAGAAAGGACTTTCACTATCTCTTCGCACGTAACAGGTTTCAGAAACAGTGAGTAAGGACATCTGTTAGGCAGGAAGGATTCAAATGAGGTATTGCATGAAGGAAACTCACTGGCAAGTTTTGCACCAGTATTAATAAAATAACCATTGAAAGCATCGGCAATTTCTCTGTTCCCACCTTGAATTCACCTTGAATTTAATGAGTAGTGACACACTTAGGTTTGCCCTTGTTTAACCCTAACCCCCTAGGATGTATGTAAAATCGTATTGAAATTGGAGGATTTGGGACTGTTAGGGTTAATATAGAATTAATCTGGTTCCCTGTACCCTTAGTATTGCCCTCGTCTTTTATCAAACCTTTTGTACAGATAGCTCCTTTTGCAGATCGAATTCAAGAATTTAACCTGTTTTCATACACAGAGTAAGTTTGCTTATTTTGCTCCGACGGATGTTTCAGGAAATTTTTGTAAAGAGGATTTTTCTTTCTGATAGAGGTGTAAATATCGCCAGATAACCAGGGAGATTTAATTTTATCGTAGCGGCATGGGATTTGTCGTAGTAAAAATTCTTCTCATAAAGCTGAAGAATATGGTCCAGAAAAATCTCGTAGATGTTACTGACATTGCCCAGTGAAGTTAAGTTATCCCAATCAATATCATTTAAATCTTGAATAATTTTTTTCAATGTTATCAGCATTAAAATCGCGCTTAGATGTATATGTCCGATTGTTTCGACTTTGTTCTTTGAAATTATCAATTCAAACTCTGTTGAAATTGTTGTAAAATCAACAAAGTTTGGAGCCCCATGCCGAGCAGCTGAAGTCCCCGAGGCCTAACAAAATACAACGTGTTGTTTGGTCCTTCAGATTTCATTTGATTTTAAATTTTTAGTACGGGTAACCAATGAATTTTTAAATTATCCGCCCAAAACAAACTCACACCCACCCCAAAAAAGGGAATGTTCCCAAGTCTTCTTCAGCAGCCATTTTTCAAATGACATCAGTCACCTTTTTCGGGCTATTCTGACAAATTGCCAATTTTTGTCTGCTTTGCCCCTAGATGGGTGCCCCTGAATCTACACAGATAATCCTGGGCCATATACGTACACAATCCCACAATTTCCTGGCCCAAACAGACCCCTCTTTTCAAAAGAATCTGTTGGGGTATTTTTAAGCGCCTCTGGAGAATTTTCCTTGAATTGGGAGACTGCACCCACAGGTATACAGAGCCTCGTATACCATATACCCAGCAAGAAATGAGACCGAGGGGTACCCCCCCCCCACATGTCCAATCCCTATACACATTCCAGACTATTGTTACTTAACACATCCCCCCCCAAGATGTCTGAAAGGAATTCCCCAGATTCCTGCGAGACAATGACCAACACACAGCAGGGGGTTCTCTCCGTCTCATACCTTGCTGCTCAGGTATAACCCACCCCAAACAAGTCCAATCCCTATACGCACTCAAATCTATTGTTACATAACACATTCCCGGATGTCTGGAAAGAATGCCTGAGATGCCAGTATAACAATGACCAACACAAAGGCGGGGGGGTTCTCTCTGTCACACGTTTACTTGGTATGGTTATATAGCTTCGAACTCGCAGCTTGTACAATCAGTCAGAATCTCTTTATCCAATCGCAGTAATGCAGCACGCGGGAAATCACATAAGCAACAAAGAACACTAGAATTGCTCAACCGTCTCTATTGATTGTGTAAAGCTGCCAGATCGAGGCTCTGCATGCCTATGGCAGCAGCGTGAAAACAGCAAACACAGACTCCCGACCTATTTTGTGGGGACGCCTACCCAAAGAGAGCTGCAGCCCCCTAGTGTCACCATTGCTGGAAACAAATTGGCACGCTGTCCTGCATACTGTAAAAATGTGCCGACGTGTTTTCTTCAAATTCCTGAAAGAAATCTGCCAGTCGATACAGATATTCCATTTTGTCCCTTCATTTTCACCTTGAAAATACTAGATGTGCTGTGGATAACAAACTGTTTATTAAATGCATTGTTAGGGGGCAATTACCAGTTGGTTTAAGTTTCAGAAAATGTGACGTGTTGGTTTTTGTGGGCGTGTATGCCATGGTGGATAGACCAATGAGAACAGGTTGTCCAGCACATCAGCATTATTTATGGGGCTAACAAGTAACGTTACTGTTTAAAAGACTTCTGTGAGCCTACCTGCAACTCAAGTCGTGTCTAACTTGGAGTATACAGCAGATTTCATCATGGGTATACCCGCCCTCAAAACAATGTTGAATCACTTTGTCTATTATAGAAACTATTAAGGAATCAAGCATTGTAAATAATTTATTTACACATTCAGTTCTGTGGGATATCGTGCAGGGACAGACAGAAATATTACATAGGCTACAGACCTAACATCAGGCCGTTAACGAGTAAAGTTACGTCTAGAGTAACTAAGTTATCGATGTAACAAAAATGGTATTATTTCATATACACGTCACTTTACCGATGTCAGTCTTTGAAAATGAAAGGATAGTATTTTTTCTTTCAAGTGGAGTTCGGTGCAACTGCAAAATCGAATACATCTTCTAGTTCTACTGCTAAAATGAGAGTCAGCACGATGGATCGATCGAACACGTACATGGACATGTGAAACGATCAAGGGTCAAAAGTTAAAAATACCACTGCGCAATCGTGGCCAAAAAACGGACGACGGGCGATACACGACGGGCGATGCACGACGCACGACGGCAAATATGGAATTCCATGCCTAGCACCACTTCATCAGATTTGTGCCTGCTTGTTTTATGTTTAAGTCTAACACAGTGCAGTTATATCGGGCCCGTTTAAACACTACACAACCTTTTCCTACCATACATTCATCCTCCTTTATAATTATTAAGTATTAGTCTATAAAATATACATTGTCTGGAGGGCCCTCTGGAAATCCTGTGTTGTTGTGTGCTTTTCTTTGTGCTTTAAATTTGCCTTAATTTTTGTTTACTTCTTTTCTTTTTTTTTTGTCAGTCGCTGCCCATTTGGCCGGCGCCCCACCGCTATAGACCAGTAGGTTACCGCTCGTGCATGAATTTCCTATACCGAGGGGTGAATTTGCCTACTCTTGTGGATTTAGTAAGATGCCGTCTCGGCTAATACCCCGCCATTGTTTTGAATAGGAGCTGTCGGTCTATGGGTTTACATGTCTGTGAGTGCAACCTCCGATGATGATCTAAAAATAGCGTCCTCGTTGATAAAAGTATTTGCTGAGAATTGAAAACTACCACCTTCTTTTCACATCCATTGAAAACGGCAGGATCTTGTTTCTATTGTTGCAGCTCAAAGTGACCGGCAAGTTGAAATGAGCTGAACATTGACCAGATCCCAGTTAGGCTACTTCCTTTACCGACTGGAATTAACCTCTTAACACCCCTCCCTGAAATGACCTTGGACTCTGACGAGCAAAGAAGAGACAGGTACGCGAATTAAGTCCATATCAACTGAAATGAACGGTCTCTTTTGCAATGTCGGAATCGCCCCTCGTGATCATGCGCCCGCGGCCGACATGGCGAACCAATTTTTGTAGGCCTAAAATGGCGTCATCTTGCACTGCCACGTCCATCGTTTTGAGCAACACTAAAAGACGAACATGACATCTTGGTCTGCCGGTGCAAACCGTTCTACTTTGATCAGAAACTTTCCAAACGAAGGATGACTTTACGTACCCGCAGACAAAATGCCGCCCAGGGAATACATAAAAAGAGAAGGCATACAATTTTATACACATGTATGATATGAAGGAGTTACTCTGGGACGGGAAATTATGTCTTCTGTAGATTATTATATCCATGTTTAAATATTTCCTTTCTGTCTCCTTTTTCAAAAATACCTAAGCCAATCTAGTCCTGGATGCTATCATTATGCACCCCGCCCCCATCTCAAACTCGCCGGAGCATTGAAAGCTGTGCGCCATCGAATCCTTTTGTTAGGTCGTTAAGACCCGTCCTCTTTGTTGAAAGTGGTAACTACGGATTAGCAATGGTTGCCGTCATATGAGTGTGTACTGTAATTGTGACAAACGGGCTTACATAATGACTCAGCTCTTCCGGGAATAAACCACATAAAGCGGCTGTGACGGACTGGTCGTATCTCTTTTCCACGTCACAACATGGTTTCTAAAAATACCTACCGTGGTGAAATCTTTACATAGAAAGAATGACGAGAGATTGTTTCTTCCGCTCCGGAGTAATCTACATGACGTGAGGGGTAAAAGGAGTATACGAAAACTTGATGCAAAATGTTTGGCTATGTGGTGTTGATGGCTTCAACGGGGATTCTATGCATTGGAGCTGTGACGGCATGTAAGTGCAACAATTATGGCGGATTGTATACCCTAGTTTTTGTCTTTAATCTTGCAAAACTAGTAATCCCCTCAAAACAACAAAAGCAACACGACCCTTTTCATTGCGCTGACCCTACTTCTTTTAGAAATTTCAAACTGTAAATTGTGAGAAAATGTGACTTTCTTAGGCCCACTGCTGATAAACGAGCCAATTTGAATCCACCGTGTGTCATGTGTTAAAACGCTTTACAGTCATTCGCCCCATTTCCACGTCGCCCCTAACCACTTCGCCCCAACTCCAATTAGCCCAATCCCACAACACCCTATCTCCACTTCGCCCCATCCCCACCTCGCCCCATTTCCACTTTGCCGTACGTGCTCGAGTGTGTTACAAAGCCTCTTCAAAAAAATGATCGAGAGAGGAGTTCCACAAACGACATGGAGTTATACGTGTGTATAGAAACTCTATGATGAATTAATACATATGGTTGAACTAGCATAGGGTTTATTTCTCATTCTCTTCAAGTTTATTTCAAAGCGATACACAATCCTGTACAAATCGTTTTGGACAGCTGTGTCTCTTGGCCCGGCACGTATGTTCATGGCTTCATATGAGTGATTGCATATATAGCTCATGTTCACCCAGCACAGCCGATTTATCACTGTAGTTAATACGTGTACATGGGATTGACTGGGGGCGCATAACCGGGTAGCCATAATCCGGTCCTGTCTCCTGCGATACGACTTCTAGTTTTGATCGAAAGAGGCAACGGTGAAGAGCCGTAGCCAGTGTTCGATACTTGTGCATGCCGTAGTCTCACATGGAGACGCCGCACCGCTTGCTGCCAACATAAACCGTTGAAAAAGGTTGTAGGGGTTTTCCTCAGATGTGAATGTGCAGTGGACGTTTGTAATGACATACATGATTAAGCCAAAAGTGCAATTTTTCTAAAAGAGATATTGAGCCATCTCAAGTAACAACGTCATTAGAAGTGAGTATCGTTCCTTGACGTATCAGAAACTGATTTTTGTCGACACCATTAAACCCTACTAAATTCTACACTATTCGAATATCAACTGGACGTCCGGTTAGGCAATGAATTGCTGTGACAGAATAAAATCACAGCGAACCAGATATTTTAACTTCGTGGATCTGGCTTTAAAAAACTTCTGCAAGCTAATGACTATCAGGATGGCCTTTAGTTCAACGCTGGCTTCATATTTATGTGTTTGGCATTCTTGTTAAAACCCCGACTGCAAGAATATCATGATTTGTTTGCATGAAGAGAGGAAATAAACGAATATTCACTACTCGAAAAAGGCTACTGCGTATTTGATTACATAAAATCGCTGACTCACAAAATAATCCGTCAAACGTCTAGTTTCCATCACAAAAGCTCACTGGCGTTCCAGTGTACGACCCTGAACAATAAGGAAAACCAAGTTGAGGGAGGAAACACACGCGCTGCTGGTGATCGGATAAACCTCGGCGCGCCGTGGCAGGAAATTTTGTGGAAACATGCTCACTTCAAGCACGAGCAAAACAACCTAAAGTAAACTCATAAACACAGAAAATACACCCATAGACAGGATAAGAAGCTCTGTAATTTACTTGAAGAAATCTTGTAACTTCAATTTTTTTTCGATGCGTGAGGCCATGTACATGTAGACCTACGGTCGCCGCGGCATGAATAGAAAGATTGCCATGCTACACTCCATCACGCATTCTCTTGCATGGGTGGGGCACGGCAGGAACCAGCGCTTTGCTCACTTGTTTAAACCACATCGACAGCGAAACACGAAGGGAAGTAAATTAGCGGAAGCTGCTTTTCAAATGTTGCAAATGTAACTGGGAAAACGTGTAAACACAAGTGTTATGAGCCCCGAGCTGGACCAAGAAAGGGCGCAATTTTCCTAGTAATAGAGACGGCTTTGGTGGTAACTACGCATCGCTAGTTCACGACCGAATATGAAACGCAAACGTTGCAGTCACATCGCTACCAACAAAATGAACACTCCCAACCATTGCGACTCTTTTCAACCGATGAGGGGGTGCTTCTGCTAAGGGCGGATAGTGAGAAAAATGTCATTCTGGGGTATTTGTGAAGACAGAAAAGACAACAGGTTTTATTTATTTGTCTTTCTTAAATTTGTTGTTTCTTACTTGCCAATAAAAATGTTCTCGCCGAAAAATTTGGGTGGGTGGGGAAATCGGAAGCATTGTTTTGGCCTTTGCAAGTTGGATTCTCCGACCGTTATTTGGGTACTCAAACGTCAATGTTTTTTGCATCTAGGCCAATGCCTCTGTTACTAAAGAACAGAATGAACGATAATCAGTGGGGCGAAGTGGAAATGGGGCAAAGTGGTTAGGGGCGAAGTAGCATGGTCGAAGTGGAAATGGGGCGAATGACCGACACCCATTAAAACACTCATAGTTTCCCCAGATAATTTCCCTCAAAATTCAAAACCCTGCCATCGACCCTACACTTATTGAGCATTATGTCACAGTCATCTACCAGGGTGAATTCAAAAGTAATGTAGGCCCTAGCTCTTACTTTGTACCAACAAATCCATGGTAAAATTAAATTGAAGTGGCAAACACGTAACACAGAAAGCAGCTCATAAATTATTGTTAGAACTAGAGGACAAAAGTTGGCTAAAATTTGCAACATTTACATAGGCCTATAAGATGTGAGAACAATGATTTTCGAATGACTTACGCACGAAAATAAAGCTGAAACCATTCCAGTCAACAAAAAACATTGTGATACAGTAAAAAAAGACTAACATTAATATGATAGCGACTTGATGATACTTATGACAATGGCCAGCCGGGAATCACAAACATACTCGTTACCTTCTGAATACCTTTACTGAACATTTTACTGCCTTTGTCAGAACCCTGATTAGGGACCGCATACACAATTACACGTACATGTACAAGAGGCTGTCATTGCCACATGTAGATGTATTGTGTTTGGCCGAGCACAAGGAATTTAGGCACAGCCTGAATGTTCATATCTTCGTTGGTCCGTATATTCAATGATAGCAGACTCTGGATACCCGGTTCGTCTGGTCGGGGGAGCTACCAGCTCTGAGGGTCGCGTGGAGGTACTCGTCGACGGCACCTGGGGAACCGTATGCGACGATGGCTGGGGCTTATCTGAGGCGATGGTCGTCTGTCGTCAGCTGAATTTCAGCGGGGCAATGTCGGCGCCCGGATCAGCTGACTTTGGTCAAGGTACCGGAGCCATCGTCATGGATGACGTCGAATGCACAGGGTCGGAGAGCTACCTGAGTTCGTGCTATTTCACGAGGAACCATAATTGTGATCACAGCGAGGACGCAGGGGTAATTTGCAATGGACAGCTAGGTAATCATTCTACCTTCTCGTTCCAATCTTACCCAACCAAACCACCTTTATCATTAGCCCCATTACTCCAACCCATGTAAACAACCTCACCCCCAGCCAAGCCCCTAATAGCTCAGCCAAAGCTGCCCAGTTTGGATTAAATTTCATTTAAATTCAGCACAGCCCATCCGTGCCCAACCCAGCCAGACCTTCCATTCCCTTGTCGATGTTATCCCTGTTCTAAGTAAGTTCGCCGTACCCGGTTCGTCTCGCCAGCGGATTCGCCAGCTCCGAGGGTCGCGTGGAAGTACATGTCAACGGCGTCTGGGGAACCATATGCGAAGATAGCTGGGGCTTGTCAGACGCGATGGTCGTGAGTCGTCAGCTGAATGTGAGCGAGGCAATATCGGCGCCAGGATACTAGGATCGGCCCGCTTTGGTCAAAGCAGCGTGTGCATTGTCATGGATGACGTCATCTGTTCTGGCCCATTATGTCCGCATGGCCCATTGTGTCCGCAAACATTTTCTGGCCCATTATGTCCGCCTCATTTTGTCTGCAGGCCCAATATCCGCCCCATTGTGTCCGCAGGCCCATTATGTCCACCCCATTGTGTCCGCCCCACTGAGTCCGCGGGCCCATACTGTCCGCCCCATTATGTCCGCCCCAATGAGTCCGCAGGCCCATTA